GAAATTTTTTTTTCAAAATTTATCGATGACATTCCACAGCAAAATACATGTATATAGTTACATTTTATGATTATAGACTTCACTCTCTCAACAAAATTCGCAATATCACTTCATGTCAATAAAATAAATCATCAATAGGTATAAGGTCCCGAATTTCTTGAAATTAAAGGCAGCTAGGTCGATCGGAAAATTAATTTGCATAAAGAACTTAAAGAGTGTCGATTTTACATCATTCAATGAACTTTATAACTTTTAAAGAAGTACAAATAATTTATCTTTCTTTGAGATCAAAAATTAAACTCTTGGTAGTTCCATTCCTCGTCTGGTGAAATGTCATTTGAACTTAAAAGTAGACTGTGTTTAATTGCTTCGAGAAGGGACAAATCAAAATTTCCGTTATTATGTATTTGATAATTTGAATCCAGAACGCGTTTTTATATTTTAATTTAAAGTAGATGTACCATTTAGAGATATAACTTTGTAAAAAAGAGACGTATGTGGAATAATAATTCCGTTATCTTTAAAAGCATTTATGTACAAATGGCATTTGTATTTTTATCAATTTCTTAAAACTGTATTCTCTCGTTTTAAACATTAACCTGACAAACTGTTCTTGGATTTCGAAATGTATTCAAATACATTTTTAATGGTATTTCTACAAAGTCTTGAGCATTGAATATTTCCAATTCTATTTGTTTTCTTTGTGATAACTCTTTGAAAGTTAGTTGAGTTGATTTCTTGATCATTCTACCGGAATGCAAATTTCGCCAAGCGAAAGGTAAGGAGCTAAGAAGGCCTAATATGCATGTAATTCTCGTGCGGCTGTCTTAAAGTTGTGTCTGACTCTAAGGAGGACTAATATGCATGTAATTCTCGTGCGGCTGTGTTTGTGTTTGACGTCAGTGGGCGGGGACTATTAAGAAATAAACAACAATGTTAAAAAGTTCTCTGGGAAATGAACTTGGTTGGTCACGTGATCAAATCCTGTGAAGTCCGAAGGGCTTCTCAGAAGATTTGATCACGTACCAACCAAGTTCATTTCCCAGTGAACTTTTTAACATTGTTGTTTATTACTTTTATTTACATTTGAGACAAATATTCTGAAAAGAACTGCATTTATTACACGAACGGCCCGCCGTATTGCTACGTTGTGACGCGCAATGACCTAGAAGCTGTTTGGTCTTGAGAGTTCGCCTCGCTCCAACATTTGAATACTTACATTGATGTTCAGCAGTCCAGTTCAGGAAATATCTGTTCCTAATGCAAAACAATGATCGCTACTGACAATAATCTTACTATTATTGTATGAGTTCTTTATATATGAAGTCAAAAGCGGTGCTATCGTCTTCCGTTTACATACCTTCAGAGGGATTTCGGGTTAAAAAGGTAAGCGTGATTTTAGGCTTTCTTCGCATCGAAGAAAGAACAAATGATCATTTGTTGAACGAAGAAAAACATATATGTTCCAATAATTTTATCTTTTTCATCGCTTTAACGGGTTAGAAGTTCCGAAACCAGTGTCACCGTGACAGAAATATGTAGACAGATATCATCGCGCTGTGTGATTCGGTCATGCCATGACCTCTGACCCCCAAATAAGTTCATACAGAATTGAACATATTTTCTCTTCAATAGGTTCATCTAAGAAAAATATTTGCAAATGTAAATAATTGAAATTGACATGTGAGGCTTCGTGTAATTTTAATCTATTAGTCTACAATTTTAAAATCTAAATTTACAATTTTATTTCACAATGAAATGGAAATATAAGGAATCACAGTCTAGTTAGTAGAGTATGCCAGGGCATCAACGATAGATGGAAACGTGGGATAATTTGCATAACGGGCGAAGCCCGTTATGCATATTATCCCACGTTTCCAACTATCGTTGATGCCCTGGCATACTCTACTAACTAGACAGTGATTCCTTAATTAAATACTTGATGAGCGGAGTTAATTTCTTCATGTATCATGTTTTAAATTTACTAGGTAGAGGCCAAGCAAGTAGCAACGATTTGAAAAAAACGGACGGGGTGGGGGCAACCTCCCAAAAAATCTGACGAGTAAAAGAAAAAAAAGTGTGCAAATCCTGGAATTTGCCAGTGCTCGACCTTACAGCGACAATAAGTGGGGGGGGGGGGACAACCAGCATCTAAATGAAAATTCACTATAGCACAATACTATACTCCAAAAAAGTGGGGGCGGTTCCCCTACCCCCCTCCCCCCCCCCCCCCGCGTTATACGGGTCTGAGAGGCAAATGTAAAGGACAAGATAGGCTAAGACCCCTTTTCGGTCTCTGTTTTTTTTTTGTGTGTGTCTTTTAGAATGATGCAACAGTTTATCAATAAAAACCTGTTGTCACCGTTGCCTCAAAATGAGTATTGGTTCAAAGTTATAGGATACACAGAGGTCACACGAAGGTCAGAAAATATGACTTGTCAGTTTCCGAATTTTTTCATTTTTATGCAAATTTTCATCGATCGTACTGCACATTTTGGTCCAGAGAACATAGAGCACAAGCTTGCCTATCTACCAAATTTATATATTTCATAAACTAGTATCAGATACATCTTGTGCATAAAAATCTCAGATAGGCAAGCTTGTGCTCTATGTTTCCTGAAGGGAAGAGTTTCTCAAATTTTACGAAATTTTACCAGAATTGAGGAAATTCGGGAAAACGTCCTACTTTTGCACCCTCTTGTGGCCTCCATGTAAGATTTGAATCAAAATAAGTGTTGGTTTTGAAGCAAGCATTATTTTAAGTTCTTAACTACAAACTATCACAATTTTAATTGTGTTCTGATTTTTACATCAAATAAGGGGCCAGATACGGCCATTACCATACCTTGTCCTTTACAACATTATATAATGCAATTTGATGAGTTTGTTCCTGCATATCAATCTCAATTCCACTCATCAAGTAACATTGCTCTAAACTGTAGAAATACGCTTAAAACTTCATTCAAATACATTTCAAAACCCAAGAACGACAAAGAAATGATTTATCAATTCTAACATAAGCTGCTATATAATACAGATATTTCTTTATGATAAAGGTGAAGATAACGAATAGTGATCAAACTCATCAATCCAGAAAAAATACGCATGTTGTGAACAGGGCAAAACCACGGACCCCTGGAACCACCAGAGGTGGGATCAGGTGCCTAAGAGGAGTAAACATCCCCTGTCGACCGGTCACACCCGCCGTGAGCCCGCAGTATCGATCAGGTAAACGACCCAAAATACACCAGCGCTAGGTTGTATTTGTAAACAAGGTCATTATAACGTCCATACAATTTGCGAAATAAAGATATTTCTCAATAGTCTGCCTCTGTTTAAAAATTGATCGTTATCAGAACATGATCTTGAGTATATGAATCAGTAAATGTTGGGAGACATTAACACCATATGTAGGTGATAATGGGATATATGTATTACTAAACATAAATTGGGAAAGTTGACGGTTGAAAAGCTGAAGTTATCTTGTTGACATATGGCTTAGTTGTTAGTTGGCCATTCTACAGTCAATATAACATCCAAGTATAAAGCAGATGTGACATATCTTATCATTCCAGAAGACTAAAGTTTTAATTAAGGATTGTTAACCTTTCACTGGCATAATGATGTATATGGTCTTTGTGTCTCCCAGCTGATTCGGTACGCAAGAGTACAATCAATTTTCAAACAGAGACAGGCTACTAACAAATAAGTTGATTTTACAGGGCTTTTAAAAATCTCTTTACATTCTACGTTTAGCAAATCATAAGGTCACTTTAATGAACTTGTTTGCAAATACAGCCTATCAACATGTCGTACTTTGACTGACATGCTTCATACCAATTGTTAGGCCATTGTTTAACGCTAATTTTGACTACGGATTATCATATTAATACAGAGGGCTCACGACGGGTGTGACCAGTCGATTGGGGGAGCTTATTCCTCCTAGGCACCTGATCCCACCTTTGGTGTTTCCAGGGGTCCATCTTTTTGCCCTGATCACGATCCGTATTACTTACAGGATTTATGAGATTAATCACTATTTGTTATCTTCACCTTTTCATTACATTTAAAAGCCTCATTGAAGGGTTGAAAGGTTAACCCACAGCACTAAATTAACCCCACAAACTTATTTTATTTACCCATAAATATTTACCCATAATATACATCTTATAAGAACAGATCGACAATTAGAAAACGGACAAAGTGATTCGATTGTGTCCCTTTGTGATGAAGGTAATAATCCATTGATAATGTTTTGAAGCTTGAACACGACATACATGTACCACTGATTTACTTTTTCAGAAACATTTTAAAAAACGGCGATGGACTGTGGTTGTTCTGTATACATTTTTAAAAGTGACTGGCTTTCTTTGTAAAGTATACATGATATTTCAAAAAGTAAATATTAAGGATACAATTGTCGATGTCATTTATAAATGGTTTGATGTATACATTTTAGGCCTAAATTTTGCCTTTAAGACCCCGTCTTGAAGATCGTCTTCGAGGACTGTATTCTCATCAGGAAAAAATAGTAACACCCCCCTCCCCCCAAAAAAAACATAATACTGTAAATCACTTTTTATTCGCGAGAACTTTATTTTCGCGTAATTATGCGAGACAGTGAGCTCGCAAAAATATCATTCTTGCGTATAATAGTATTCCATAAGATTATATAGAGGAATAACAACAATTCGTGAAAATTATGTCTCGCTAATAAAGAGTCAATGACTATCTCGCGAAAATAAGGTGTCGCGAAAATTTAGTGATCTACAGTAGTGAGATGCAGTTCATTATAATCAGTGTCACTGCAAGTTAGAAGACTTTTCACATTTCCATCTTGAGAGAAGTGTAATTTTTTACAGGCCTGACGTGCCCTTTGACAGACATAGAACCATAATGGGAAATGTTACCGAGTTCTAAGGGAGTTCTCAATTGTCATCAAATGCTCTCGTTAATTCATGTTGTTTACGTTAGTCGAATATATGACAAAAACTAACAACAAAGATTTTTTGTATACAATTTTATTTTTTTTTCTTATAAATAACAAATATTTATTTACAAACATTGCAGTAACTCTTGGATTGTAACTTCACCAGACTGTCTTTAGAACTGGAATGACAAAAAAGAAGTAATATTAAATTAAAATCATAAAAAGAAATCAGATGAAATGAAATTGACAAGGAACATGGACGTTTTAATGTAACAACATGTGAGGGACAAAGAATTTTTTCATCATGCTTTTCCTTGTTCTGTTTTAACCTTGATTATTTTTGAATTTAGAAAATAGTTTCAGGTGATCTTCCGCGTGTAATCAAACATGACATTTTCAACCTTTAATTAAAAAAAAAGATATAATAAAGTGCTACTTCAGTAAGTGCCGACTTATCAATAGTCTATTCATAAAATAGTGTGACATTCGGTTTCTTAAATAAACTTTTTCTTAGAAAAAAAAACTGCTGTTCAGTGCAAAAGTATTTTCAGTAATTGAAGGAAGTGGGTATTTATCTGAAAACTAGATGTGAATTTTATTAAAACTTACAGGGTAATCTTTAATGGATGGATAATAAGGAGTATCGTATTTTCCACCTCCGAAACGAGAACCAAACCTAGATCCACGTCTAGAACTAAAGGCAGAGCCAGGTCCACCGATAATTCCGTCAAAGAGTCCAGATCCGACACCGGACCCAAAAGCGGAGGCTGATGCAGAAGACCTGGATCCAAAACGTGAGAAGGGAGAAAATTGTGCTTGGTATGGCTCGTATTTGGGATATTGGGGAAACTGGACTTTTGGGTAGCCACAGAGATGATAGTTCTGAATGATGTGAGGATACGAGCAGGGGTTGTAGTGGTTGAAGTTGTAATAATGACGATTGATGGTGATTTGTCTACCCAGTCCGCCAGCAGAGGCGAAGGCGGAGGCCGAAGCACCAGCACCTCTAAATCCTCTACCGGCTGAGGCTCCGGCGAGAGCTGACGCAGCACCAACAGCTCCACTACCACCAAAGAGAGATCCGAAACCTCCTCCTTGTAATAGGTACACGGTCCTTCCTTGTCCGCCACGGGCTGCGCCAGCACCGGCGCTAGAAAAAGCTAGAGCGGCTGCCCTTGCATCCGCAGCTGCCTTTGCGCTAGCTTCTGCTGCTGCTCTTGCTTCAGCGGCTGCCCTTGCTTCAGCAGTTGCTCTTGCTTGAGCTAAAGCACTGGCACTGGAAACAGCACCAGCGGAAACTCCGACTCCAGCTCCGGCTCCAGCACCACCGCCACTGGCACCACCACCACCAGAACCTCCTCCACTTCCGCCGCTTCCCCCACTTCCGCCGCTCCCTCCACTGCCCCCACCTCCAGATTGGCTAGCTTGCCATTGTTGAAACTGTGAAAAGAAGTCGTGGCAATTTTGTCCATTGCTACCATTACAATTCCATCCTCCATTGTCCTCCTCATCAGCGAAAGCGAGGCTCAAGAAGGCAAAGAATAATAAAACCTTCATGGTCGCTTGCAACTGGAATGAAGAGAAGAAAAAAAAATTATAACGATGATTTATAATTCCTTTGAAGAAAGTGTTTCAAATAGAGCTGATAAATATTTTTAAACATTTGCTATTTAGTATTTTATGCTACAGAAAAGTATTTTGGGTATATCGGAAAATTGGTATTGTCCATTTAAAATTATAATTTTGTTGCAGGTAACAAACAAAATATATACCTATGAAACAAAAGTTAAACTCTATATTTTTATATATTTTTGTCATTATTGAAAATTGCCTTGATTTTTTTCCTAGAAGAATTCAATTCTTTATTTATTTTATTATTATTTTTTTAATAAAAAAAGAGAGAAGAATGCAGAATCTAACATTGAGGGATTTAAAATTCGCTTAAAAGTTTGGCAAAAGTTGATCCTTCATTCGGATTATTAAAAGAAAATTACTGTTTCTTCTATTATGATTTATTTACGACTCCAGAACTCACCTCCTTCTTTTAGCTTCCGAAATGAGAGCGAGCAGAAGTGACATAGAAAGGTTTTTACCACGGAATTTTATATACTGGTTACCAGCCAATGGGAAAAGAGCTTTCAAAAATGAGCAAATGTCCCTGCCATGGCCGGTCATGCGTGTCTGATGTCATAAATCATCATTCAAAGTTGGAAACCTTCAAAATTTCTGTCATTGAATGTCCGTCATTTTCACTATGAAATTACCTGTAATCATTGTCTTAAATATTTTCTCGTGGGGGATTTTTGTCAGAGGTCAGCAAGGAAGAACAAAGATAGTTAAATATTCTTTTTTCAGAGTCGCTAATGAATATTTAATTAAAATCGACATCATGCAATGTGTTTTTTGACGCTCGAATAATGCCTGTTTGCACACAGATTATTCTTATTCTTATTTCCTTTATCTTAAAAATTTTAAAACTTAAATGTCAAATTTCATCATGTCACAAAAATACCAAGACAGTGCATGTTTAAATTAAAGTCATGTCAAATTTAACAAAAGATTTTTGTTATGTGTCTTAGTTGGTTTGATGTTTTGCGAAATGCAGTTCATGAACCAACGGAAAGTGTGAATTAAAAGTTCTATAAAATCTCACGAAATTTCGTTTCTCCTTTGCCTTCAAGCATCTAGCCATAGGTGTATTTTGTTAAAAGATGGAATATTTTACCAAAACAGCGCATTTTATTCCGTATGATGAATTTTTGGTCTTGTGGAGAAACTTGAGATTTTTTATTTTTTGTAGTTTTTAATGTGTTCCTCTAATTGTACTTTTTTATTTATTCTTTTTCTTTTCTTCTTTATCTTATATCTCCTCTCATTTCCTTTATAAATATTGCAATTTTATTTTACATATGTATTCATGCTTGATGAGAAATGGCACATCTCTCTCTCTCTCTCTCTGAGATGAGATTTAACGTTGTACTACCTTAATTCTTATATTAATAGAGAGAATTTAGATAGAACCGAAACACAATGTTGTCAATCCTTGTAACTTTTCTAATGAAATATTGAGTACAGTGGTACTGGTACGATAGAGGAGACTAAAATTTTCCCCTTTCCTAGCCAAAGTTATGCTGATTATATATATATATATATATATATATATATATATATATATATATATATATATATATATATATATATATATATATATATATATATATATATATATATAATGCTAATAATGCTAAAATTTAAAACAAGTTTCAAGCGTCATTCAGCAATTTTTCCATTTTCGTCTACAGTTAATTTTCCTGATTTTTTTTTCTTTATACAAACATATTCGTGTAGTGTTAGATATTTCAATGTACATGTTAAGTTTAAAATTCTTGAGAAATTCCTGAAAATTAAAAATTTCAACGATATGATATATAAATTTAAATATGCAAATTACGGAATATTTCACTATACATAGATACATGTTTGTGTTCTCTAAACTAAACTGGAATAGTTGACATATAGACTTACTAGTTATTACTTTTCAAATAATCATAATTGAGTAAAACAAATGATTTAAAGTGAGGTAGCAGTCGGCCAATATATTTTGTTTTTTGCTCAAGAAAAATCCTCAACATTTACATATTTTTCTTAGCCAAAGATAAAGTGATCCTGAAAACTTTAAAATTTGAAACATCGGATGATGCTTCACATCGATGGTGAATGGGGAATTTAAGTTAATTTAGTTGTACCTTTGCGATTATTTTTCGAATCAAATAATTTTTGGACATTAGCAAAATAGAGTTCACGGAAATACATACAGATTCCAGTTTCATGCCAAAAAGAAAGTTTCACCTTTTCGTGGGAACGATATCACGTGTGGTAACTCGAATATTAAATTATATGAAATCTTCGTTTTCTAATATGCCCTTGTGTAAAGAAGTTCATCTTTGGGGACTATAGAGTAAAAGAAGGGAGTTTGGCGATTTTGCGTTAAATTTGACATTTTAATTGTGAATGTGTATATAAAGTCCGCTTGATGTCAACAAAATGCATGGAAAGAAACAATATTGTCTAACCCTGGAGGAACATTTCAAAGATTATTTTTAAAGACTTGATCAGATAAAGTTTAGTTAACTAAAATATAACTTGAATATTTACATGATGAAGTCGGATTACAAGTTTTGTGTTTATCGTTCTCTGAATAAGTGAGTACTTTGAATTATTTTCAAAGACGTACTGGAATGTAGGTAATGAAATGAAAATATTTCGTAACATTTAATTTTGTAGATTACATCTTTATTAGTGTTATGTCATTTGGTGGTGAAAAGTAATTATTTTAAGTTCTCATTTAAATTGTTTCCCCTACTTAGTCTAGAATTTTAAAATGTCAAAGGTATCAAAGGGGAATTCATTTTTCATTGCAATCATGTGTTCATTTTCACTAAAGTCATTAAAGATCACCTTATTTAATTGAAGACACTCACTATTTATGGGCAAACTTCGTGTTATTATCATGGTTACCTGTAGAATAATAATTATTTGACATGCAGTGTCATTCTTCATTTATTCGAATTATCATCACTACACTTTATTTTTTTTCTCTTCAAATCCCACCACTGGAATTTTCGGGGGTCTGTGTTTTAATCCCTTTTCATAAATTTGTATCCTTTGTATTTTTTTTTTTTTTTTTTTTTTTAGATCGTTCACTGTTCGTCATCTTCAACCTTTTTCCTGTATATCTTTCAGAGAAAATAAAATTTGGAATTTCTTTTTTTAAAGAAAGAAATCGCTCAAAGATGCATTTAGACGTATATCAAAAGATTTTTTTCGTCGACAAAATATAATTATAAATACTCATTAGATATAACCGGATACTGGGAACCGGAGCGATCACTAAAACATCTCTAAGGGAAATTGAAAATAGATAATAAATATTTGCTTTCCAAACTCAAAGGATTTAATAATGTTTAAACTTTGCTTTGATTCAACTACATCATGGTGGCAAAAATATGGCACACATGTAATATTTAAGAAGAAAAAGCACATTTATGCAGTCTTGTTTTTTTTTTTTTTTTTTTTTTTTTTTTGATTTCGATCAATTCCTTAGATCTTGAATTCTGTAACTAAGAAGTTACAAATGTTTAGAGTTGTGCACAGGGAGTGTATCACATTGTACATGTTTTATCATGCAGCTTAAGCTTGGTGTGCTTGTTCAAGTGTGATATAATTACCCGAAGAAATGTTCCAAGCGTTCTCCATTTTTTTTTTAAATGTTATTATTTTTTTTTCTGTATAAATATTTTGCAGACATCAAAATGAATACATAAAAATAAAAAAAAAAAAAGAAGTAAAACAATAGTTTTTGCTTAAAATAACATATTGCTGCATTTAATTCTGCTATGACACAGGTCTTATTAAACTTTATGAGGAAAAAACTTAAAAATCTTAGCAGTTCATCTGGAAAGAAAAAAAAATATCTCCATTGATCTTCAGGTAATATGCTAGCTGTTTGTAAATGTATGTGTGTGTGTGTATGGGGGGGGGGGGGGGGGGTCTTAGTCTCCGAGTGCACCGTGTTCTTTTAAATTTGTCTTTGATTTCAGAAAGTCTGTATTTCAATTCAGTTTCTGTCATAAAATCGTGAGGAGTTTACTGTACAGTATGAAAGAAAAGTTGACTTGTGGTTAATAGCAACCACGAGTGTACTTGTTTTGTATAAAGATAATAAAATTATAATGGTATCCAACACGTAATCAATCAAAATTCAGATCAGTGATGATTTTCTGCTTGTCGGTATGAACATATTTTATCGCATGATGTAAGTAAATGTTAGAAAAAATTAAGTTCTTGCTTTTATATTTTCCTATGGTTGCATATTTTCTGTCCCCTACATGTAAGTATGTCAACATGCAAGATAATTATGTCTACATGCAAGATATTTATGTAAACATGCAAGTTATCAATCTTTTTAGAGAATTTGATTTAAATGTTGGTAAGTTCACTTACTAACGCCAGAAAATGACATCATACATCACATGCAAGATGCAACATTATTATCTCTATATGCGACTTATTTATGTCAACATGCGAGATAATTATGTAGTCATGCAACTTATTTATGTCAACATGCGAGATAATTATGTAGTCATGCAACTTATTTATGTCAACATGCAAGATAATTATGTAGACATGCAAATTGTTTATGTCAACATGCGAGTTAAAAAAGTCGACATGCAACCTACTAATGTTGACATGCGACTTATTAATGTCAACATGCCGCAAGTTATATGGTACCATGCAAGATATTTATGTCAAACATGCAAGATAATAAGTTGCATGTCAACATACACATCTCGCATGTTGACATAATTAACTAGCATTTCAACATAATTATCTCACATGTTGAAATAAATTAGTCGCATGTCAACATGATATATGTTACATCTTGGACAGCTGATGTCAGATACTGGCGTAAATAAGTAAATTTACCATTGTAAAACAGACTAGTACTCTCTTAAAAGATTGGCAACTTGCAGCATGCCAACATTATTCTTTTGCATTGAGACATAATTATCATGCATGCTGACATACATTTCTCGCATTTTAACATAATTTACAGGCGCGGATCCAGAATTTTTTTCCCCTGGGGGGTGGGGGTGGGGGGTCCATCCCTGTCAAAAAAAAAATCCAACCCTAAAATACCTTGACAAGCAAAGAAAAAAAAAAACTAAATTACCCTCCCACAGGTATTCCAAAATGGGAAAACACTTATTTCGTGGTGGTGATGGTGGGTCCACGTTTTTCGGGGGGGGGGGGGGGGGGGTAAAGTAAGTTTTTCTTTCCTTCAGTATATACTTTTAATAACTTTGCAAATTCCGGGGGAGGGGGGGGGCCCTGACCCCCCTCTAGATCCGCGCATGATTTATCCTGCATGTAGCGGCAGAAATAAGTCACCATATATTACAGATACATGTATCATTAATAGTCTGGCATTCTAAATCTACTTTATCCAACTATGTACATGTACGGATGAAAACTAAAAAAAGAAAATAATAATATTAAAATAATTGTGTTATATATATATGATTTTAAAAACATTCTAAAATTTGAATATTTAATTAAGAGGGAAAAATCTCGCGTTTGAAATTTCAATGAAAAAAAAAAGAAGCTTCCTCAATATATTAGTTGGGGGAATAGTCTTCTGTTACAAAATTAACAGTACTGTGTTATCATCAGGGACCTATATACTATATATAGGTCCCTGGTTATCAGTCTATGCATGATATATAAGAAATAATGCAGCGATAAGACAATATGAAAATGAAATTACTTTAAATATATTAAAAACTAGCTTTTAAAAAGGGGGATGAATCAAATGACATTCTCCGGAAATATTTACTCTGGTTTCGACCGTTTCCCTACTTTATATAAATCGCGAACGTGTTTCCGGTTCCGTTCAAAACAAAACCAGACCAGACAGACAGATCTAATTACATTGTATCATAATTCAATTAACTGCGAACATTGTTTGATTTGGAAATGAATTGAAATGGTTTACAGATGAAGAAGAAAATGTTTTCAAAATTTTCCAACATTCTTCATCATGCAGTTGAGGCGGTAGGTCAAGTACTGTAGTCTTTTCACTTGTAACCCCCTCCACCCCCAGAACAGCTAAATATATAAAATAAAGTGATTGTACCAGACCTGCAGAAAGCAAAGCAATTAGCATTTACACCATTTTCAACCTATTGTACTTTTTTTAAAGTTACAAATGTTTGTTTTTTCCCAATGATGTGCAATGTCCTTCTTCAAGCCGAGATAATTACAAAAACAATGAATAGATGGAGGATCAAAATATTTCCCTAGAACCACTGGGCCTTAAAAGACTATAATAATTATATTGTGCTAGCTTATATGTTATTTAGATATATGTGTGTTCATGGGGTAGGTCTAGGGATGGGCTAGATAGAACGTTCTATCGTTAAAATGATATTGTCCTAGGAACCCGGTTTAACAATAGAATTCGTTCTGTGTATTGGCAATGTTGCAAAATAAACATGGGCCATAACTTGAACTCTGTGCATTTTCTATGAACAAACCAGAGAGTTCAGAATGTCAACATTAGGACACCAACCTCACGATACGATACGTGTCACGGTATACAGTTCACGATATGATATATATCACGATACATGACAAGGTTAAGAACTTGATAGGGTTATTTAACTTTGAGTTGTGACATTTTTAAACCAATGACGAACATTTGCTGGGAACTACGGGGACCTTTCCTAATAAACTTCCTTTTAAATTGGAATGAAAAAGGAAGACATTCATTCTTTTATTCCTTTTATTTATGTAGAAAACCACTTGTCATATTTCTCATGTTAGCACGTTTTAGTCAACAAGACAGCGAATTTTCATTGAAATACACGTGTGATGAGATATCATTACCATAGAATACATTTAGACCTAAAGGGTCTATCACTTGTCTTACCATCTGTAACTTTTAATCACATTAAGAATGAGATAAAAGTCCTTCACAATGTTAAATCTGAGGTCTGTAAGATACTGGAGATGAGTTTAACTGCCATTAATGCGTTATCGTCGACCTGTACAGAAGCCATTTTGAAATTGTAAACAAGGAAACAAACACAGCACAGTTAAGGCTGCAATAAGGAGGCGGGGCTTAATTTTTACGGGAAATGCTTACTATGACATCACACAAAAATACATGTTCTTCAAATTACCACAAAATGAAATGATACGCTATTTTAAACTTTGATATCTTTGATATCTTTAAAGTACATCAGTACTTCTTAATGCATGTATTTTTGTCGTTGGTTAATCCCACAAAGCAATAATTATATATTAACAATTCACTGATCGCAATGCATTTGTCAATGTGACGTCATATCGTAAAATTTGACGCAGTTTGTATGCAGTGAGAGGCGGATCAAGTTATATTTCATACAATGAAATATGTGTTTTGTAATTAAATGAAATATTATTTGCAGATACATGTATATAAGAGGCCATTAACTTGGATGTGATGTCTATTTTATGATTTTATTCATATACTTCCTGTACATTCCCTAGAAAAGTGAAACTGCCGTACATTTGTATGCAGGTTCATTGAAGGGTAATAGAAGGGTCTTAATAAATTGATAAATTGAAAGGGCATACCCTCAATGAATTACGACAAGCTTTTACACACAAACTCAAGAGGTATGAAGATATTTGAAAAGTGCTGCGAACCTGATGAAATCTTGCAAATGAATTCATTATATCTACATTTAATGTACTTGACCAACAAAATATTCAACATACGGTCTAACAAATGTAATTTTAGCAATTATTTAGTGGAATCTATATAGGTTCGCAGCACTTTTCACAAACTACAAAGAGTGTTGAAAATAATTATAAATTTAACTTAGATTTTTAACTTGGTTATGCCCTTGCAATATTGGAATTTATAGATGACTTCTATACTGCAGGTATATTTGCTAAAATCACGTGACTCCACATTAAGGAGGCTGGGGGGTCAACAAATTAACCACAAATTAACCACCAGATTTAACTTAATTTTTTAGATATGATATCTTAAGCTGTCAACTATCATTTGGCAAAGAAAAATTTCAAAAATTTTAGTTTTAAAATTTGATCATTTTCTATATCTTCATATGGAGCTCTTCTTCTAAAGGAGATCAATATAGTCTAAAAATGGCCACAACCCCCCAGCCTCTTTAAGTGACAAATCTAAATAAGAAATATAAACGTCCTCAACATGTAGTTTTCAGCCACATTACATTTGTCCGATAATAGTAAAGGCCTAAAAAGAATCACCCATCCTTGTAAAGAATGTATTTTGTGTCTAAAAAATTTGCTGATATTTCCATTTGGCACCTTAACTGTCCTGCGAAACGGACGATTCGGATGATTCTTGGCCATTTGAACTGAACTGTGATATCGGTTTAGCATATATCATGAATTGAACCGTGGAAAAATATACCGCGATATACCGTCAAACGGTTTATCGTTGCACTCTAAGTCAACATGGCGTTAAATTTGAAGCGAGGAAAAAACGTTGAGAAAATGAGTTGAATTTTCGTATTTATATACAATCTCAAAAAGGTTTGTAATGATTAATGTGGTAGTTATTTTCAGTGCAACTCCTTTTGTGTTCTTCAAAATCATTTTGGAGTGGATCCACTCCAGTTTGCTACATTGCAAGTATATGGAACGTATTCTAACTGTGGTGAGGGCTTGTTCCAAGACACAGTTAGATTATTCTAACTAGGGATGGGCCACAATAAAGGGGTTAAAGGTTTGCATAATACTGTACAATGTGATGTTAGTAGAATTATAGAAAGAATGTCTTATCATTAAATTGATATTGTCCTAAGGATGTGGTATAAGGATACAAATCCTTCTGTGTATATTTCCTAAATACATGTAGCAATATAAATAAGGCAAATAATTTTAATTTATAATACAAACATATCAAAGAGTTCCAAATGTCAATGTGGCATTTAAATTTGAAGCGAGAAAAAAACAGTGAGAAACAGGATTGCTGGGAAATACCAATGCTGGTAATTACCAGTATTTCCTGTCCCAGTGAATACTACATATTTTCTCTAAACTTGGAAATATTGGAAAATACTAGGAAATCAAAAGTTTAAGTTTCTTGTATTAATTATTTTTATTTATTTAAGAAAATGCATAATTGAGAATAAATGAATGCAAGTTTTTCTATAACTGTCTGTTAAACAAAATTGAAAATTTCTAATTAGAATTTCTTTTCACCTTTGTAGCATTTTACAGATAATTTATTAAGAACAAAATAACTTGTTTTGATCCTCATGTAAGCACTGTAGGTATTACATGTGCAATTAAACCGGTGGTTTTAACAAATTGACTTTTGACAGTGTTCATGTGTTCCTATTTTGAGATTTAATTATATTATATAGATACATTTACTACAGTAGACCAAATGTTGTAAAGTTCTAGCTTGAATCAAATTCAGATGTAAAATGTTTTGAAAAACTTTGTTCATTAAATTCATTTCATCAAATTCAACAATCAGGGCCTATACAAAAATTCATATGAATTCGATATAACAGTTTTTAATTAGTTTTAACGAATTTAATTCATTATAACAAAGAATTCATTTTAACGAATTTTATTCATTATAACAAGTTTAAGAATTCATTATAATGAATTTAATTCCTTATAACAAATTTTTGAATTTGTTATAAGGAATTCAACAAATTTATTATAACAGATTAAATTCATTATAACAAATTCAAAGAAATTGTTGTAACAATTAAATTTGTTATAACAAATTGGACAATTCATTATATCGAATTCAAAAATATTTTTTTAATAGGTCCTAATGGGTTTCCGTAATTTTTTTATAGTATACCAACACTCACAATTTTTTAACAAGGTATTGTAATGTCCCACTTGTTCACCAAAAGTGGATACTTAGCTTAGTAAGCACAACTTTTTCGGGTTTGTCATGTTTAATGGTTAATTCTCAGACTATGATTAAATATTTTAACCAATAATTTGTATTAGGCCTATGTGTCTATAACCCAACAGATAATTTATGACTAAAATTATAAAACATGCATCTGTACTTTATTTCATGGGAAATACCAGTTATTCCAGAGAATTACCTGTGTTTCCCACCTTACTGGGAAATATGAGTATTTCCCCTTTTTTTCCAGCCCTGTTGAGAAATTGAAATTTTTGGGGGTAGAAGGCATATACATGTGTACCAGCTCAAAAACAAGAAAAAGGTTTGTCATGGTTAATTTGGTGGTTATTTTCAATGCAACTGCTTTTGTATTCTTCAAAATTTTGCTGGAGCAGATGCGTTCTGTTTTGATATTGTAACTACTAGTATATGGGACATATTCTAACTATGGTGAGGACTTGTTCTGATAGACTCATTTAGATTTTTCTAACTAGGGAATATCTTTTTAATCTCTTAGACTCTTTATATCATAAATGTTGACGTCATTTAATATTAGCTGTGGATATTGCCAGAAAAATTATGTTGTTATGTATTGCGATGTATGATGGGATGTTGTGATACATGTAGATAATATTGTTGCCTTTTTCTCTAAATAGTTTTTAGACTTGTCAAACATGTACTTTATTCATTACAATACCCTAGATACCCTGTTTTGGTTATATATGGTCATTTAACACTAGAAATTGTCCACTGCTTTGATACAGTTCCCAGTGGAATTTGTAGTCATTGTTATTTTTCTCAGAGATATTTGCTTAAAAGCCTTACATGTAACTTAGGCGAACACAGTCAATGGGTGCTTAATTTTGAGGTACAGCCTGACTTGCAAACCTCAGTTTTTCCATTATAGTATTTTTTTTACCGATGTAGAATCAGACTTGGGACTTACTATTGAAGCATTGTGATCCGAAAGATCATTAATAGCTTTTTTTTGGTCTGCAATTTTTTTTTTATAAAAGTTAATTAAGAGTTAGTATTCCAGAATATGTGACAGAATTGTATGCAAATTAAATATACAATGTAAATCTGGTTAAATATTAATATATATATATATATATATTTTATCTTCTCTTATTTTTTTAATACTATAGCAAAATACGTAACAAGGTAAATTCTCTGTTGACAAGTTTTGATTTAGATACACTATATGTAGCATTTATGAAGTACTTCCAGTTAGCATATCATCAATACCGGTATTGAACAAGATGTTTTTGTGAAACAGTGATGCCCCTGTTTGACTCCTCATTGCCAAGATTAAAGTTTCTCAAATGCAAGTCAAACTCTAAGGTCAAGGACAAGAGGTAAAAAATAATGGTATCCAAAGGAAAGTCTTGTCACAAGAAATATACATATGAAATATGAAAGCCCTAGAGCACCAAAAGTTCAAAAGTTATGACCAAGGTTTAACTTTTTTTTTTTTCAAAAGTATGTCATACTCCAAGGTCAAGGTCATGAGGTCAAAAATGTTGTTACCCAAGGGAAGGTCATGTCACAAAGAATACACAAATGATCCAAGTGTTATTCCCTCTTCACAGATTTGTATTTTTTATAGATTATTTTTAGATCAATCACTGTTCGTTATCTTCACTTTTTTCACTTATGAAAGCCCTAGCACCAACTGTTCTATAGTTATGGCCAAAGGCTTAAGTTTTTCAAAGTAGGTCAAACTTCTAGGTCAAGGTCATGAGGTAAAAAATGTTGGTACCCAAGAAAAGGTGTTGTCACAAAAATGCACATGTGAAATATGAAAGTCCTAGAACATATAAAAATGAGCCCATGGTCCCAACTATTGTTTGAGTTCAAGTTTGGCCATGTAGTCTTAATTATTACACACTCAGATATCCTGATACCCATAAGGCATTATGTCAAATACAAGGAGTATGTCAAAGTGAGCAAATGGTTCCAACTATGATCTGATTTTGAATTTCAACTAAGTAATTTCAAACACTCAGATATTAAGAGTTTATATTCCAAGTCCCACTGAGCATGAGATAATATGTTGTTTAGTTGTATATATTTGCACAGTGTAGGTGTATATATTTTGATACTCTAGCATAGTGTAGGGGTGTGCATTACTGCCAGTATATCAGTTTATTGCAATATTAACATGATTAAATCCAACGATAATAAATATGATATCAAATTCTTGCATAGTGTAGACCATATATTGATCAGTAAATAGCCTTGATTTTTTTTTTTCTTCATGCATATTCTGTTTATTGCATTGTATAGTAAAGTTTAACACTGATATGTTTCTTATTATAGCTTGCACCTCAGTTGTCCTTGAAGGAAGAGTTTGTATATCATTGGAAGGCAGTTACCACTTTCTTCATGGATAACAAAGGTATGGACATTCCTACATACATGTACTTTGTCTGTCAGACAAAATAACAGATGACTTCCTACAGCTTAAAATTATATTTTTCAAAGTTGTGATCTTCCAAAGGAAGGATTTTTGTCACAATTCCCCCTCATTAAATGTTCAGATGTTTTCTAGATGATACATCTAAGGATGCACACTACTGGACTAGCTTCAGATGCTGGATCTGACCTACATTTTTCAGATGAGTGACCAGGTTAAAGTTTTTGGAGCAGGTCCATTTCCAAGAAACTATAAGGCCTATCTGAACCAAACTTGCAGGGATGATGCATCAAGGGATGAACACTCTCAAACTTCTATGCTTCAGATGCTAGATTTGACTTACATTTCCTGGATGAGTGACTAGTTTAAAGTTTTAGATAAGTCCAAGTAACTGCAAGCCCTATCAGACCAAAATCGCATAAATGTTGCATCTAGGGATGCACACTACTAGATTATTAGTTTAGTGTGGGACTTTGCCTTACTTAAAGACAACATTCATTGAGGTGAGCTCTGTAATCTCTGATTACCTGTGTTTAATATTTGTTTAGGGGAGAAGATGCCAATAGATCAGACGCAGATCCCAGAACACCTGGATCAGATGGTGGTTTTGTTGACAGAGGAGGAAAAAATTGAGCAACTGGATAGTACAGGACCATGTATGGAGTACCTCCTACAACACAAACTCCTTGAGACTCTGTACTCACTTGGCAGAACTGATGTAAGTACTGTTACATAGTGCAACACGAAGTATGAGAGATGCTGTACTCAATGGGTAGAAAAAAACAGAAGTCCAGTAACATAGTACAACACAATGTACTGGAGGCTGTCCACTGGACAGAACTGATGTAAGTACAGTTACATAGTACAGATAGTTACTCAGTACAAAGTATGAAAGATACTGTCTTAGTGGGAAGGACTGATGTACAGTTATATAGTACAACACAAGGTATGAGAGATGATGTACTCTCTGAAGATACAGAGTACAACACAAGGTATGAGAGATGATGTACTCTCTGAAGACACAGAGTACAACACAAGGTATGAGAGATGTTGTACTCTCTGAAGATAGAGAGTACAACACAAGGTATGAGAGATGTTGTACTCTCTGAAGATACAGAATACAACACAAGCTATGAGAGATGATATACTCTCTGAAGATACAGAGTACATGGTATAAGAGATGTTGTACTCTCTGAAGATACAGAGTACAACACAAGGTATGAGAGATGTTGTACTCTCTGAAGATACAGAGTACAACACAAGGTTTGATAGGTGATGTACTCTCTGAAGATAAAGAGTACAACACAAGGTATGAGAGATGTTGTACTCTCTGAAGATACAGAGTACAAAACAAGGTATGAGAGATGTTGTACTCTCTGAAGATACCTAATACAACACAAGGTATGAGAGATGATATACTCTCTGAAGATACAGTGTACATGGTATGAGAGATGTTGTACATGTACTCTCTGAAGATACAGAGTACAACACAAGGTATGAGAGATGTTGTACTCTCTGAAGATACAGAGTACAACACAAGGTTTGATAGGTGATGTACTCTCTGAAGATAAAGAGTACAACACAAGGTATGAGAGATGTTGTACTCTCTGAAGATACAGAGTACAACACAAGGTATGAGAGATGTTGTACTCTCTGAAGATACAGAGTACAAAAGAAGGTACGAGAGATGTTGTACTCTCTGAAGATAGAGAGTACAACACAAGGTATGAGAGATTATGTACTCTCTGAAGATAGAGAGTACAACACAAGGTATGAGAGATATTGTACTCTCTGAAGATAGAGAGTACAACACAAGGTATGAGAGATGTTGTACTCTCTGAAGTTACAGAGTACAAGGTATGAGAGATGATGTACTCTCTGAAGATACAGAGTACAACACAAAGTATGAGAGATGATGTACTCTCTGAAGATAAGAGTACAACACAAAGTATGAGAGATGATGTACTCTCTGAAGATACGGAGTACAACACAAGGTATGAGAGATGATGTACTCACTGGACAGAACTGTTTTAAGTACAGTAACAAAGTACAACATATACTGGGCCAGAAATAATGTAAGTATAGTTACATACTATGTAATACAGTACAACACAGAACTGATGTTAGTACAGTTACGTACAACATAGTACAATATAAAGTATTGGAGACTCTTACTAGGAAGAACTGATGCAAGTTTAGTTACACAGTACAACCACATATTGGGCAGAACTGATGTAACGGGTAAGTACAGTTACATAGTACAACACTGGACTCACTGGACAAATGAACTACATGTAAGTACAGAAACATAGTTCCCCTGTACAGCACAAAGTAAAGGAAACTCTGTTTTCACTGGGCATAACTAATGTTTGTATGGTTACATATTACAAAATAGTATAGTACAAAGTACGGGAGATTTTGTACTTACTGGGCAGAACTAATGTTAGTACAGGTACTCAATAAAAGTACAACATAGACTAAAAGGGACTCTACTCACTGGGCAGAACTGATGTAAGTATACAGTATTTTTAGACCTAGTATCTTTGATGGCTGTGGACCAATGTTTCTTAGAGAAAGTAGATCAAAACGTGTTTATCTTTGTCTTACTTTTTTACCTAACTAATAAAGTACTTCCCTGAATGTGAACTATATAGTTCTGGTTGTAATGTACTATTAAACTGTTTTATTCTTTCACTGAATTTGACTTTAAGCAACATCTTATTAAGTTCATTCTAAAATAAAATAATTATACTTGCTAAACTTATCAAATTTTGTGACTGCTTAATTGACTATTGATCACAACACATCATTTTCCAAGTAAACTGAAATTAATTAAAACTTGTGGTCTATTACCAAGAAGAATACAAAAAACTGTCAATTATTTAATCATTAATGTGTTATTTAAATTTTTTGAAAGTTGCTAGGAGGAAATAGATTGACATGTGCATGCAAATTAAGGGAGTGCATTGTAGAATATCAATTACAGTTGTGAAACAGTTATATCCAAAAAATTTCTCATTTTTTTCTTTTTAATTATTTCTTATTTATCATATTTTTAGTGAGGCCAGACTAATCATATTTATGAAATGCCAAATTTATTTTTAAACTCTCAAGTGTGCAATAATGACAATTATCTAATTTTTCTTTTTTAACATTTCAAAAACTATTTTTAAGCAGTTGAAAAAGGAAATTAATTAGATCATTGTGTCGTAGAAGTTTTAGCCTTTCAGTGACTTGTTCTACTTATCTTTAATTTGTCTTTTGACGTGCCCACCTTGAAACTTTTCAGTGAAATTTGAATAAATTATATTTTTGCTGTTTATTTATAGAATTCACATTTTCTGTAATTATTTCTATTATCTAAGATTTTCGTACAACAATTCCACTTTCATGGTTTTCTCCATCACTGAATGCAGCAAATTTGCAGCAAAAGTAAAGCTGTAAATTCTGTATGTATCATATGTAAGTCGATTCATGTACTTTAAACTACTTTTATCATTTCAGCATCCTCCAGGCATGAAACAAATAGTTCTACAGTTTTTTACCAAGTTATTGTCCAGATTAAAGCAGCCTATCCTGGCCCATGTTAGCGTGCACAGGGCTGTTCATGTAAGTTACACTTTGAGAGATAATGCCAATAATACAAACACAGAAATGCTACTGTTTGTTTTTTGGACTTGAATTTGTCAATGGTGAAGAACCAGAGACCAATCCACATTTCTACTATAACTCCCAGAAGGAGGGGTCAATTAAAGTACAATACAGTAAGAAAATAGTGGTTGGGACTTTGAAATCATTTCTACATATGCGTGGGATTCAAGATATCTGAGTTTTAGACACTGATCAAAGTTTAACTATATACATGTATGTATATAAAAAGAAATCATTAAAGTTATTTATTTTAACTTTTCAGGGAAAGGAAATGTAAATCATGGAATGCTTATTCATAATAATAATTAAAAAAGAATTCACCAACACTTGTGGAATTATAATGTGTGTTTTTGAATTAATTACCTATAATAAAGAGTACCAATCGGTATGATAGGAATAAAACAGTTTTGATTTTATGATGTGTTCATGCCTTGTGTGTAATTGAAAATCAATTTTTTGGAGTACATATTAAATAAGCCAACCACAATAATGAGCATATGGAATACCAATTAATTGAAGTTACCTAACAGATCATCACCTCTTAGTACAATTAGCAATCAATGAAATATTCCTGTGTTTTGACAACTGATGGAAAGGATTCTTTGATACAGAATTGCAAAGAAATGAAAGTTATTTAAAACTGCAGACCTAAATATTGATATTTAACTTTAACAAGAGCAATTACATATTTTTTTTTAATGTTTCAGGTCCAGAATATTTATTTCATACCCCCCCCCCCTTTTCTCAAGACTGAAATGGTTCTTTTAATCTGTATATGAATATGAACAATTATAGATTAGATTTTATAAAAAAAACAAAACAAAAAAACCCCACACAATTGTAGTTTTTAATTGTGATAAATGTATGAATGACAATGGCAAAATAAAATTATGTATGTATGGGTATTATTGTTGCACATTTTAGAATACATTGTTTTAATGCTGAAGGGTGAATGGTGTTTTGAAGCTGATTTTATGAAGTTTTTAATTATTTTTTTTCAGCGGCTGGTCAAGGCATGTGGTGAAGTCCAGGCTGCCCCTACAGAATCAGAGGAGATTCAGTTTTTGTGTACTGTGTGTTCAGTAGTGAAATCTACTCCCTATCTAGTCAACTTCTTTATTGAGGTGAGAATTATCTGTGAAGCCTTGTTCCAGAATTGTGTACATTTAGATAATTCATTCATTTATTTATTTTTTTGTGGGATCAAGATATACATGAAGTTTCATCCAGTTAAGGTGATCATTATGCCAGTATGTACTTTCATGGAAATAATGACTGTTCAGTATACATTCATACCATATCAGTAAAACAGATACGCTCATTAAAAAAAAAAATGTATTTAATAGATTATCATGTTTCCATCTGAATTTACACCATGATGGTAATAGAGATAACTCCTTTTGAAAATACATGATACAATGTTTTGAAAATATAAGCAAACACTTCCATAGACAATTTTCCTAGGTCATTAACTTCCCGATAATGATTTTAAAATTAATATTCAATCTAAGTTGAAACAATATGCTGAAATTGAGCTCTGTACAATATTACAGGCTGATTCTATCACAGATGTAATTCAATGATCAATAAAATTTATTTTCATAAGTATACACTCTTCACGTGTCTCTTAATAGACATTCAAGAATGGTTTTATTTCGTTGTCCTCGATTCTAGATCTGATCATATTAAACTATTTAAAGTACTTTTTGTAATATATTAATAATTCTTGTTTTTTTCTTTTATACCTTACTCAAAATGAAATAATTTAGAAGATCTATAAGATAAAAGTAGCGAAAGAAATCAGCTAGGGGATCGCTAGTAAATAAAATGGGGATAATTCCAGCACTGTTCTAATTAAAATTTATTACATTTTTTGGTGAAATCTGAAAATTACAGAATATTCGAATCATAAATTCATATTCGAATATTAACTAATCGAATGAATATTAGAATGTTCAAATATTCGTTGACATCCCTAGTTTCAAGCATAAATTCAAATGGCAGTAAATCTGTGGCTCATAGAAGACTTGAATAGTATGTGACACTCCTGTGACAGTTAAGGCCTATAGGTCTATTCTTTATCAATGATGTCCTAAATGTAGTACATTTTGAGGAAAAAACATTGATTTTATCTTGTGTCCTGACTGCTGTCTGCTGCTAGAACATTGTATATTATCAGAGAGAGGTTCTTGGTACCCTTGATATTGTAAAGGAAAAAAACTCTGTTAGAGCCTTTAGGGGACAATGCTTATTTAAACTTTGTTCAAAATGGCTTATACATTTGGCTCTCAAAATGTTTAAAATTGTTAATGTTAATCATAAGGAATTTTTGAATATTATAAGGAAGTTGAATGAGACAATTCCTTGTAATTGCAACACTGTCATTATAAATATATCAGTGTCAAATAAATACATGAAACTTACAAATTAACAATAAAATTGACCTGCTTTACCATTGGTAAAACAAATTTTAACTTTTTAATTATGATGACATCATTAAACGATAATTGTGTGTCATACATGAGTGAATTACACCAGTAATCTACAGTCCCCTCACCTTAAGAAATGTCAGCATTGAGACAGATTTATAGATCTTTGATTTGTGGTCTCATTTTTTACATTTAATCAAACACTTCTTGATGATTTATTTTGTGTTATTTAGAAAATTCTAAATGCATGTTGTTGACACATTGTCAATCATTTTTGTAAGATAGGTTTAACACATCTATCTCTTTGGTGCATTCAAATTTGCTTGACCAGTATTTTACTTCATTTTCTTAATGCTTATTAAATTTTGTAGTTTTAGAAAAACACTTCAAACAAGGCCTAAGGCCAAAATAAAAAATACCTTTGTTTCCCCTAATGCGACCGACCCACTTAAATCGTGCCGACTGAAAAGTTTTTTTAATAAGATTATTTAAATATTTTTTTTTTATTGTTTATCAAATTTATAAAATATAATTTCATCAAAATCCGTTTTTTATCAGAACGGCGGCTTTTGTTTTACTCTTATTTGGTGCCGACAACATGTGGCCACAGAGGGTTAGTTCGTGTTATAAAACAATGGTGACGTATCAATTTTATTATATCTTTAACTTATTAGAATCCTACACTCTTGAGACATCTCGTGAATTAATGTACCATGACTAAGGAGTGTTAAGATGGTATTTAAAAAATTAACGTATGTAGTACATGTAAGCATAGCAAAGCCTGCCTCATGAGTAGATGAGGGGCGCTCCTTGTGAATACATATCAATAAATTTCACTGCATTTGATTCGTTTCGTTCTAATAAACAGTTCATGTAAGATCCTATTTTTATACATAGGACCATAGGAGTTGTAAATATGTCTTTGTATGATTATTTCATTTGATAAATATAATTCAGATGTCGTTTCCTTATTCCTTTTATTTATGGGGTATTGACTCCGTGACTATAAAATTAGATATATGAAACTTTAATCATTTTAGATATGGTTTGGTTGAATTATATATTGTTTATACATGTACATGTACACTATTTCCAAATAGTGTTGAAATCTTTAAAATTTGCTTATGGTACGACTTCCTGGGACGGCCAGTTTATTTTGCTTTAGTTAGGCCCTTGAAAACAGGTTGTTTCTTTGCTTTAAAATTTGTTGGGCCGGTGGAAGGCTCCTAATTTAGACTTTTACTCGGCACTTATGGCCTTTGATCATTAAGCATCAGTAAGGGATCTTTTACGTGCCATCTACATGTATACTCCGACACTGGACCTACGTTTTTTATGGTCTTATTCGACTGACCGGTCTGCAAGTCCCACGTCGGGACCTGTGACTTAGAATTAGCTCCCGAATTACGTCGTGACTCCAAAACGAAACACTAGAACTACTGTGCCACGAGAGGCCCTTGACATTTTGTCTGTGTAAGTACTCGAAGATGATAGTAGGTTTGTAAAATGTACTCGAATGTCCGATGGTTCAGTATTTGCGAATCTTGTGTGTTTTGTAAATATTCAATATCAATAAATTTACGCTGGCCTGAGATATTTTACAAGTTCAAATGAATAATATTTGTGAATTAATTTACCATACATGTTGCTTCATTTGTATGTTATTAGGTTTAAAATTGTTTTCTTTTCTTTCTTATTTATAAAGATATTTTTCAATTTTTCAGAATGTATTCCCAAACCTGCTGTCAGAAAAAAATTATTTACCTACCTACCGACCCAACTTGAGATTTTTGGGTCGGGTTAGGGGAAACAAAGATATTTTTAATGATGGCCTAATGGAAGAGTATTATTATTTAATTTCATCAGAATTAATGAGTGTAAATTCCTTGAGTGAAAAAAGGTTTACCTTAACATTTGAATCAGCATGGGCTGAATTCTGAACTGTTTAAGAATTATTCATTAGTCATATGCACATTATTATTAGTCACAAAAACATTTTTTATAATGAAGTGCATTATAGCAGAGCATGAATTATATTGAACATGGAAATATTTTTAGCTCACCTGAGCTGAAAGCTCAAGTGACCTTTTCTGATTACATTTCATCTGCTGTCCATCTGTCCATCCATCTGTCTTTCCATTTGTAATTTTTTTTACATTTTCAACTTCTCAAGAACCACTGGGCAAATTTCAACCAAACTTGCCATAAAGCATCCTTGGCTGAAAGGGATTCATGTTTATTCTAATGAAGGGCCACACCCTATTTCAAGGGAGATAATAAAAAAAAAATAGTGAAAATTTATTGACATCTTTTAAAAATTCTTCTCACTGAGCCAGAAAAGTTCAAACTTATATGTGAAAGCTTCATTACAAGTATAGATTCAAATCATAGGGGGAAAAATTTGATGATGAAGAACAGCAGGGCCAAATTGACTCAGGTTAGCATTGTGGCCAATGGGCCTCTTGTTCTTACAGAATATGTAGCTCACCTGAGCTAATAATATAGAAACATTCTTAGGTAGTGAAGAATCATTACAAGTTTTTTTTTTCAAATTATTATTCCTGGGGTAGGGTAGGACCACAATAGAAATCAAAGTTTTACATAGGAATGTATAGGAAAAAAATCTTTAAAAATCTTCCTCTTAAAAGCAGCAAAGACACGATTAGTCATATTGATATGGAAGCAATTTCAGGTAGTATAGATTCAAATTTGTTCAAATAATGTTCACCATTTGTAAACTGGGGCCACAATTGGCAATCTAAGATTTACATAGGAATATATAGGAAAAAATCTTTTTAAAAAACACCTTCTTCTCGGAACAGCAAAGGCATGAAAAGTCATATTAATAAGGAAGGATCCTCAGGTAGTGTAGTTTCATATTTGTTTAAATCTTAATTGACCCCCAGGGATAGGTCAGGGCCACAATAGGCATCAAAGTTAAATTACATAGAAATACAGTTGAACTTTGCTATCTTGAACACTGATATCTCAAATACCATGGATATCTTCAAAGTGATTTGGAAGTCCCAACTCCTCATTCTTAAAAAGTATTTTACCCTTGATATCTCGAATCATCAGATATCTCGAGTTTTTTTTGGTCTCATTGAGTTCGAGATAATGAGGTTTGACTGTATATAGGAAAAACTCTTTAAAAACCTTCTTAGGAACCAATGGTCCAGAAGAGTTGAAACTTGTGTGAAAGCTTCAATACGTACTTTGTTCAAATCATGACCTCAAGGGGTAGGGTGGGGCCACAGTGGGTGATCAAAGTTTAACATAGGAATTATATATAGGAAAATATCTTTACAAATCTTTTCTCTAGAACAGCAAATGCATGAATTGTCATATTCAAATTGATATTTGGAAGCATTCTTATATAGTGTAATTCAGGTTTATTCAAATCATGATCCTGGGGCTTAAGGTGGAAACACATAAGTTGATTAAAATTTTAACATAGGATTATACATGTACAGGAAAAAATTCTTCAAAAATCTTCTTCTCAAGAATGGCAAAGGCATGATTAATCATATTGATACAGAAGCACCCACAGGTATTTTTTTTAAAATTATGAGTGCCAGGGTATTGTAGGGCCACAATAGGCAATCAAAGTTTTACATAGGGAAAAAATCTACTGATGAAGAACAATAGTTCCATAGTGACTCAGGTGAGCATTGTGGACTGTGGGCCTCTTGCTTGTCTCTTACTATAGATAAAATATTTATTTCAAAATTCTATTCTAAAAGTCTCTCTGAAATCAAAGGACCAGAATGGACAAAACTTATTTCACAAAGATAAACTTCACAAAATAACAATAATGACTCTGTAACAAATTTCTTTTGTGTATTGTTTTAGAAAACAGCATATTAAATAAAATAATTATCTGTAATGTTATTCAGTTCTTCATTTGGGCTCATGCTGATTTTATTTATATTGTAGGTGCCAAAACTCAAAACTGATGCAAGAAAAACTAGTCTTACCAAAGATGTGCCAACCCTTGAGAATGAAGGTCAACTGAAAACTGCCAACAGTTCTTCAAATGCCAACACTTTGCCCAATGCCAACTCCACCAATGGTCCAAGTAGTGATGGGCGAAGTTTTAGCCTTATGAATTCGCTCTTAAATCTCTCACACAGCGCAGTAAGTTTCTGTGTAAATTTGGTCTAAAATTCAGAGAAAGAATTTAATCCTTTAAAGTAAGTTAAATCTTTGGGGGAAAAATTTATTTTCCATAAGTAATTAATGTAAGTAATAAAACATAGGTCTGTTCATTTTCTGTTGGTAAAATACATGCATGTGCATTCAAATCTTTTATAAAGATTGAAAAAAAAATTGTTGTTTTAAAAAAAAGGGAAAATTATGCAAGTTTTAATTAAATAACCTGCATTAAAAGGGTCAAAACAAAGGTTTAAAATGTTTTATCACTGAAATGTCATAGGAAAAGGAAATGGTAAATTAATTTTTATTGTATGCTTCTTACCTGGTACAATTCATTATAAGACCAGATGAGACATAAATATTTGGATACTTAATGTTTAAAGAGCTAAATCCACGAAGTGCCAAAATCGGCCCAATTATCAAAATAAATGAAACTTTCTCACATAATACTCTAAGATTTGTATGTTGTAAAACAATTTATTTTTTAACAATATCTTTTCTGGTTTTCTTTTTACAGACGTTTAAACTTAGTATTGTTTTCCTTATCAAAACTGTCACGTCATTACATACTTTAATGTTGTGACGTTGACATTTTGTATAACAAAGAAACACATGTACGTTAATGGAATAAAATTCACCAAAATATGCTCTTCTTTAAAATTTTAGGAAAATTTAATTATGAATTTTCAAGAAGTTTTGAAAACATATGGGTTTATATTTAAATTGAAGCTATTTGTATTTTAACGAAATATATATTTATTTACAACATTTGTCTCATAAAATCGTGGTTATATGTAACACGATTTAAATGAAAATAGGGGACATATTAAGCTGAAAATTACAGCAAGTGTTAATCTATCATATTTAAGTTGAACTGAATTTTGTAGTAAAATATACACTTGTAGGCATGGATAAGGATTCTATCGTTCTTTAATGTGCTGTAGTATGGTCCTATGGCGTACAAACAAAAAAAAAGGTTTTATAAAAGAATATTTACATTTCCAATGTCTTTGTCCGAGATAAAATTACAAATTGTAAAAATACTTTATTTCTACATAAATCTACTGGTTCATCGATAGGCGCGGTTAAAAAAAATCACGTGCGGGGCGGGACAAATAGAGATAGAAGCGGGGCTATTAGCACGGGGATTTGCAGAATCAGGAGCATGTAAATATAAGGAATAACTGTCTTATTTTTTGGATTCATGACGATGATCAATCGTTTGGCTTGCGTGATAATTTTATGCATAAACGCCTTCGGCGTTTATGCAAATTATCACGCAAGCCACTCGATTGATCACATCATGAATCCAAAAAATAAGACAGTTATTCCTTAAATGCACAAGACTTAGTGCTCTTTGATAACGAATACATAAAATTTAAAAAAAAAGTTGCATTATAAAAATGAAGATGTTTGAAGTGACCATCTATTATAATGTCATTCTGAAGATTTCGCTGCACTTTCGTAATTTAAGGTATGTCACTCGTGAAATTTGTTATATCAAGGATTTTTTGAAAAGTATATTTTAGATAAGTACTCATATAACACGACTCAAAATCGCAAAGAAAATGGGGGGTCAGTGTGCATCTTCCTGAGCTACGGTACAATTAAATTGACCTTTTTGCACTTAAATTGTAATTCTTTGGTTAATAACTTTAATCTTTATCATATTTTATCAGATGTAATTGTGGCAATAAATATAATCTTATTTTACGTAAAATAGTTTGAATAATCTTTATCATTGGACAAATCATGCAAATTAATGTGCGTAAATTATTGTGTGACCTTTTTGCACTAAAAAGTATCATATTTGGGGTATAAAAAATCTAAATAGGCAATAAAATATTTTCTTGTATCAAACTTTTTATGACTTAAGTGCAGATCGGTTGGAAGTATCGTGTTGTTTAAAATAATGAAAGAAAAAGTTGGGGTCAGTGATGTAAATTTTGAGATATTGGTCAAAATGTGCGATTTTCAGGCAAAAAACGTTGAAAAATTTTATCTTGACTTCTCTAATATATCTTCATTTCTTGACAAAGTCTGTTGAGTGAATGTAAAAAATTTATTCTAAAAATATAAATTGGGACCTATATTTAATATCCCTAGCATATCATAACGGAAAATATTCTCTAAGTAAAAATATGTGGGGCTAAAGTACCAAGATATTAAATTTGTAGATTTGAAGAATTTTCTTCTAAATATCCTTCCACCACGAGAAATAGTCCCTCATAAATTTTGCTTCTTTATGAATTTGTGAGCAGTTTTTTCATTGAAAGTTGAATAATTTGCATTGTTTGATTTAAATATGTTATAAAAATGGAATTGTAATAAATTAGTTTTGAAGTTAAAGGTTCTGACTGAACTTTTCTAAAAAGCTGACGAGTGACATACCTTAAAGCATTTCCCGGACATTTGAAATGAATTTGTATTAAAATACATGTACTTGAAATACAAGAAAAATAATGACGTTTTAGGGCTTTCCACAAGGCAGTATGTTTAGGAAAAAAGCCACTACAGACTTTGAACAAGCAAGTAAGAGTCCAAAGAAAACACAAGATTTCCGAAGTATTTGAATTTCAAAACGGAACATAAGTTTAAAAAAACCGACATGGCATGTAAACCACTTTCAATTTAATTTAAATTACTTAATCAAAATAAAATTCACTAATTAATGATCAATATGTTATATCATCAAAGTGAAAAGTTAATCTTATATACGAGATCTCCAAATGACAAAGAGGATAACCTTTCCACGTGATAATAACTTGGATCATGCCGATGATTTCTGCAGAGTATGCTGCACATCGCGATAACAGACAAAACAATAAATGTGAAGTGTATAGAAAAAAATAACTTAGCGTCAATTACAGCTACAGCATATATAAAACATTTTTTTTAAAAGGACTGATTTTTATTTATGAATTTTGGCACTGTAATTCACATCCACAGAAATGAAAATGATTCACTTTCATATCTCACACACTCCCCTAACAGGGGAGTACCTTTTGTAAACCCTTTTAATAAAATCATAAAGTAATAATTATCTGGTGAATTGAAACATAATCTAAACAACTCAAACTTTCATATAGTTCAAAGCCAGTTTTAACATTTTACTCATAATTTTCATATATATTAAGAAATTATTCTGTCGAGCTGCTAATAACGTTTCGGGTCTCCATGTGCACTTTCTAACACAACCACAAATAGATAGGCGATAATGAGTATAGAAGACGATGAAATAATAATATCGTATACATATGGCGTATGAGATTTTTAACTCGGACTTTTTTTGATCGGAACATTTTTGTAAACAAAAACAAAAAAAACAAAAAAACAAAACAAACAAACACAAAAAAAACCCAAAACAAAACAAAACAAACAAAAAATACGGAAACAGCTACCGGCAGTAGTGAATGACTATCATTACAATCCGTAGATTACTTATTTAATTTAAAGAAGTAAAACTACCGTCCAAAGCATTAATTGTCTATAATGAGTGGCACATTATTGCATTGTTCACAGGTATTACGTATTGTCTGAAAATTGGAGAGAAAAAAAATAACAATAATACATTCGGGACATACATGTATACATTTTTATCATACAGATTGAAAAAAAATTCAAAACTGCGGTTGCATGGATTTTTCCACACTATACATACAAGGACTAATACAATGGCATTGTATAAATTGATGATTGTTTAAACATCTAAACCCGACTATGCACCAGGCTGAATATCTCAATTGTATATATTATGAAAAACATAGAATAGCATTAAGTAGACTCAGATTATCTTCACATTGTTTACGCATTGAGTCTGGTAGCTATGAGCAAAAATGTCTTATAAGTGAACGAAAATGCGTATTTTGTACATCGAACGAAATAGAAGACGAATATCATTTTGTTTTGATATGCAAGTTCCATGTTGAGTTAAGAGAAAAATATATTAAAAAATATTTTTACGTAAGACCTAGTATGGTAAAATTAATTGAATTACTTAATTCCGACTCAGAAAATATACCTTAAAAACTTGGGAAATACGTGTTTGAATGTTTTAAAAAGAGGGAAAACTTTATTCTAAAGTAAGATTAATAATAGGAAATATCCCTTTATAGTTCTTTTTTCATATATGTATATTTTAAGTTATGTTATAAAGCACCTGTGTAACACCTGTTGACCAATGTTTATATTATAAAACTGTTATACTTTTGTGGCAATATATGCAATGTATACTCAAATAAAGATACTACTACTATAATTAATTCACTTAATACCACTTTCTTGTTTAAATGACACTAGTAATTGCCACATTGGTCGCTCTGTTCCACCTGTTAAAGTTCATCCAAAATTGAAAATGAGTGAGGGTGGGAATCCCGAATTCCCCTCCCCCTTACCGCTGTCTTATTTTTGTAATACCCCCCCCCCTTTTTATGAATTTACATTACCATGCTTGCTAAGCTTGGTTGCCCTCTCTCCCTTAGACCTGCTACATTTAAGAGGAGTAACTCAAAATAGAAAGGGTTAGCAAGTAGCCTCCCTTTGATTTTTTTCATATGCTGGCTAGGTCACAGAATGCAGGCGATGCTGAAATTATACTTAAAGAGTTGTCACTACCTTGATAGTAAGTTATTCGTTTGTACGATGTATTTGTTTTATAAAGGCCTATCACAAAAATTACGATTACACATGATCTGTAAAATCGTAGTCTAGATTTAAAATCAATCTACATGTATTTTGTTTATTTGATGTCAACTCGAATTTTCTAGGTTCTATATTTCGTAACATGTTATGGGGTCTCGGATCTGAAAATGTTTTCACTAATAAACATGAATCAATCGTTTGTCTTAAAATGCCGACGGCAGTTTCTGAAACGCATGTTAGTATGGAATATAATCCAACGTTAACCATGTTTATGACGTTTGTGATGCCTGTCGATGCTCAGCTTCGCTAGCCAAGGGTTTCTGATCCGAGAGTCCCTTGGATAGCGAATATGGTCGATGCGAACTTCTCGACATACATAATTTATGTTTTGTAGGGTGGTGAAACAATCATTATATGTACGTCCTGGAAGTTGCATCTGATGTAATCAACTTGTATCGTAGCTATTTCGACTCCGCCACTGATGTACACGTTTTTCGGGTGATCTCCCTTTGATTACATAGTGACCATGGTGACGAGGAGTTGGTAGTTGCAAAAAAAAAAAAAGAATACAAATAAATAGGCTAGGAATTATTATTTTAAACATTTCAGCATATTGATGAGTTAAATAGAGATCAGCTACGTGAAGAAAAAGTCTTGGGTCAGGACTGAGGCACGTAGTACACACAAGTACAAAAAGTCGACATTATTGCATCTGCATGCGGTCTCGTTTAACAAGAGTTTTTCGTACTTTTTTGCACCACAACACACAAAATAACATATTATAGACAGAACATTTGCATTTCTAAACTTTTCCTATTTACAAAAACAATACAAATCTTTTTCTTTTTAATTTATGTGAGGTATGCCCTATAATTTCCACTGCGGTAGTCGGTGCTTAGAGATTGGAATCGAACTAAAAGTAATAATTTCGATTTGGCCACACCCCTCGAACAAAATTAAAATATGCTCTACTTATTCATATTTTAATTCTTTTTTTAATGGTATAAATTTAATTTTGTTCGAAGGGTGTGGCCACAGCAAAAAATTGAACTAAAGACGGAAAAAATGCTTTATTTTCAAATTGATAAAAAGTATGAAAGTGCACGTGTTTAGACGTTTTCTGTACAAATATGACGTCATCAAATACAAAAATCTGCATGCACTTTTTAAGTTTGATACTTAAGGATAATATTTCTATTGATAATTTTTTTCTTCCCCTCAGTTTAATTTTCTTGAAAAAATAGGCCAATTTAGCCCCTTCGTGCATTTAGCTCTTTCATTACACACTTTTTCAAAAGAGATTAAAAATTTGATGAAAACATGATTCCCCCCCCCCCCCCCCAATTCAGAGAAACATGTGACTACAAGTATACCATTGAGCTAAAACATCATATATAATTTAATTTTCTTAATTATTTTCTATCTTGTTTATGAAGTTCTTTGTCTCTTTTAAATCTATTTCATAAAAAAAAAAATGATAAATTAAATGTAGGGAATAACTACCTAAATGATTATTTCCTCAAAATGTCAGCTTGTTTTGCAACATTCCATTAAAAGGCTTAGTATACTGTTAGAATCCAAATTAAGGACAACTAACCACATCTTTATTGTTTGTGATGCTAAGGAATCATCTTAAATGTTAATGTGAATTTATTTTTGTTTCTAATCATGTATTTCTGTGAAGGTTATTGGCCTAATTTCAGAAATTTTAAATTTCTGAGCATAATTTATTCTCATTAATTAATTTTTCATTAGATTTTTTTCCATCAACATTATATCTTCCTTTCAAGATATGCATTTTTAGGTCACCTGAGTCACTCAGGTGACCTATTGCTATCTGTTTTTGTCTGTCGTCGTTCGTCGTCAATCGGTCGTAAACTTTTGAACATTTTTAGCTTCTTCTCTGGAACCACTGAACCAATTTCAACCAATTTTAGCATATAGCATCTATGGGTGAAGGGGAGTAAAAATTTTGAAATTCATGGCCCCTGCCCCCCTGGGGCCTGAGGGGTGGGGCTAAAACCATCAAAATTAATGCAATCTTTTAAAAATCTTCTTCTTTACTCCTGGACATCAAACAGTCAAACTGTTGGCATGATTGTAATAAGCATTGAGCCCTCTAACAAAATTATGAAATTCATGGCCCCAGGGTCAGGGGTTCTGGTGCTAGGGCGGGGCTCTAATGTTTATATAGTGAAAATGCATTAATTCTTTGAAAAATCTTCTCCTCTGCTCCTGGGTGTTAAGCCGATGAATTAAGTACATAGTTATGATGAGCAAAAGTGCCTCTTCCAAAATTGTGAATTTCATGGCCCCTGGGTCAGGGGTTCTGGTGTTAGGGCGGGGCTCTAATGAATATATAGTGAAAATGCTTTAATTCTTTGAAAAATCTTCTCCTCTGCTCCTGGGTATTAAGCCGATGAATTAAGTACAAAGTTATGATGAGCAAAAGTGCCTCTTCCAAAATTTTGAATTTCATGGCCCCTGGGTCAGGGGTTCTGATGTTAGGGCGGGGCTCTAATGAATATATAGTAAAAAAACATTAATTCTTTGAAAATCTTCTCCTCTGCTCCTGGGTATTAAGCCGATGAATTAAGTACATAGTTATAATGTGCAAGAGTGTCTCTTCCGAAATTGTGAATTTCATGGCCCCTCTTGGTGAGGGGTTCCATGTGGGGGGGGGGGGGGGGCTTTTTTTTTATATACAGAAAATAAATTAATGCTTTGAAAATCTTCTCTGCTCCTGGGTATTGAGCTGATGAACTAAGTACATAGTTATGATGAGCAAGAGTGCCTCTTCCAAAATTGTGAATTTCATGGCCCCTTGGTCAGGGGTTCCATGTTGGGGGGCTTATTTATTATATACTGAAAATAAATTAATGCTTTGAAAATCTTCTCCTCTACCCCTTGGTATTAATTAAACAAACTAAATACATAGTTATGATGAGAAAGGATGCCTTTTCCAAAATTTTGAATTTCATGGCCCCTGGGTCAGGTGTTCTTGAGCTTGGGTGGGTTCTATTGATTAATTAGCAAAATGCATTAATGCTTTGAAAAACTTCTCCTCTGCCCCTGAGTACTAAGCAAACAAGCTAAATGCAATAATATCAAAGTAAATACATGTATTAAATTTAATTATAAGTAAATGTGCCTTTTCTTTGCTTGTGGGTATCTAGGAGGCAGAGTACACAGTTGTGATGTGAAGCAAATGAGAGTTACTCCCCTTTGTTAAATATTGTTAATCAAGAAATCCTTGTATATAATTTAATTAACAGGTTATTTGATTGAATGAGAATACAAGAAAGAATGTTATATATATATATAGAAACAAAATAAAAATGAATGTTTGGTTTAAATGAGCAAATTCTTGCCTGGAAAGCAGTATAAAAGATTGACATAAAGATTATTTATATATTTAGCAAAAGTTGTAAGTGTACACAGTATGTATACTCTGTGGTGATCTAAGTTAGCATCACTTGTAGAGGAGTTGTGGTTAACAGGAGACTGGATGTTGTTTTATACTTTATCAAAGTGAACAAAGAATCACAGAGGCAAGTGACAAAAAAATATATGTACATATTGAATACCTTACACAATAGGCAAGTGTTCTTTGTATTTGTATATTTTGCATTCATTATCATCCCTGTAAGACTTGGGAAAACCAAGTATGATCCAAAGGAGATCAATCGGGTCTAGCACATTACAATAAGCAAGGGTATTTTTACCAGATTTTTAGCTCAGTTCGACGAAGTCGAAATGAGCTCATGCTATACCCCCGACGTTGGCGTCCCGGTTAAAGTTTTAGGAGCAAGTCCACTCCCAAGTAACTATGAGCCCTACCTGAACCAAACTTGCATGGATGATGCATCAAGGGATGGACACTACCACACTTGCTTCGGATGCTGGATCTGACCTAGATTTTCCAGATGAGTGACCAGGTTAAAGTTTTTGGAGCAGGTCTTTTTCCAAGTAACTATAAGTACTACTTATAGCAAACTTGCATGGATATTGATCTTGGGATGTACACTAACTAGAAAAAAATATGATGTGAGATTTGCCTTACTTATAGATAACATTTGTCGAGGTGAGCATCGTAATCTTTGATTACCTATGTTTGAAATTCTTGGGCAACATTGCTTCGTCTATCAGTTAATTTTGTTTTATACTTCCATGGATCCTTTAGTGTTGTATTATACTCAGGTGACCGTTAAGGCCCTTGGGCCTCTTGTTATTGTGATATCTAGAATGCACAGCTTGAGAAACAAATCAAACATACTGTACATGTTTTGAATTATTTTTTCAAAAATTCTATTTATTCCTTCATCACATTAAAATTAGCAGACTTACTCTGCATGCTAGTACAATGTCTATTTTTGCAGTGACTCTAGAATTTATATCAGAAAAAATCTTTCAGTGATTTTGAAACAATGTAGCAGTAAGCTTTAGTTTTCTTAAGTTTATATAATTTCAGAAATGTTAGTATTGACCCCCCCCCCCCCCCCCCATATTTAAAAAAAAATGAAATAAGAACTCCCTTAATTAGTTTGAAGAACAAGTTTAGAGATACAGCTGAACTTCAGTATCTTGAACACTGATATCTCTAATGCCATGGATATGTGGAAGTGAGTTGAAAGTTCCAACTTTTCATTTTCTCTGTTTTTCACTTTGATATTTTGAATCCTCAGATATCGAGAAGTTTTTTCTCAGTCCCATTGAGTTTGAGATATCAAGGTTTGACTGTATATGAATTTAATCAATAAATCTGCATTGAGTAAGTGAATTAATTTGTGAGCATGCAGAATTCATAATACATTTACAGTAGAAATTTTTATCTGATTCATGAGTGTTTATAATTTTTATCAATACATGTTCTTTTCTTTTGCCTAGTTTCTAATCTTCATCCATGATATTTAAAGCAGGACAAAGGCCAGTTAGAGTAGCTTTCTATTATCATCTGTACTAGAATAAATCTTTTTTTTCTACAGATCTCATGCATATCCACTGTCATAGTATTCTTTGGCAAGTTCTTTTTTTTTTCATTGGCACTGAAGATTCCACTTCAGAACTTGTACACGTATTTTGATATTGCTGTTTTCCCCCTCAATTTGTAGCCTGTTCATTTCCCATTTGCTCATTCTTTATAGTTACACAAAGAGTCATTACCTCTTCTTTTGTATGATGCCATATCAAAAATTATCTCGACTCAAACCTCAATGTACAAATTGGTGTAAATTTTGACTGAGGCTGAGATAACATTTCTCTTAGTCTCTAAGTATTTATAACTGCTTAAGAAATGGAGATTTGGATGTGGTGTGATTTTATTTTTTAACAGGACAGTCGGGTAGCTGTTAAGGCATGTGAGGGCTTGATGCTGTGTGCTAGTTTGCCAGAGGAAACAGCTGCCACATGTATCGTCCATGATACAGCCTTTTGTATGGAGATGAGCCAGAGGCTCGTAGAGGCATATCTCAAACTACCGTCTTTCATAAGTCCCTTGGATCTCGAGAATGTAGAGGCCAAATGGGGGTTAGTTATTACTTATTCAAAAAAAAAAATTAAAAATGTTAGATTGCAAAATACAAGAATAAATTTTGCAAGGTGTGCATGCAAGAAGCAGATGCAAAGTGTGATACAGTAAAACAGTCTTATAGCGAATATGCTTATAATGAATTAACTCTTACAGCAAAGTGATTTTCATTCTCTCTGGCTTTAAAATACATGTATATTGTGAACTCAACAGATATAATGAATTACATTTATAATGAAGCAAAATCATCCATCCCTGGTACTTTATTAGAAGCTTATTATACTGTATTAAAGGTTCTTGAACTTTTTTCCTGATGATTTTCTTTGTAAAAATTCTTAGATATTACAGGTATATTCCATGGCATCTCCATTTAGACAAGAGATTAATTTTTCCTTTAGTAAAATATAATGAAGAAATTTAAAGACCTTTTTCATTACAGCCTGGATGTCATCACAGAGAGTGAAGATCATAAGACATTTTTAGGAAAGCGCCATCTAGTGAGTTTTCTGTCCTGGCTGGACTATTGTGATCAGCTGATTTCTGTCTCAAATCCAATGGTAGCCAAAAATCTGGCAAAGTCCATCAGGGAACTGTTTCTGAATGTTATCATGGAACCCTCAGTATTACAAACGTAAGGGACTTTGAAACAAATTCATACATTCACTGGATCTGTGTACTATTACTGAAATTACATATTTGTCTTGGATTTTTGTTTCTGTATATGAATTACAGATTAACTTGTATTATAATGCTTTTTTTAGTTGAGCTTAGAATTTTATTTTTTTTTCCTTACATAGATGCTTTACCAATGATAAGTTAGCATTCACACAAATGCCTCAAAGATTGCATGCATAGAGCTGTCATTCTTTCCTCTCTCAAACATGTGCAATAATATAGGGTTATTGAACATATATTGGTGAATATTGGCACGAGTAAGCTGTACAAATGCACAAGCTTGCAAATGCATTTGTACAGACAATGTACAGCCAATGAGTGCCAATATTCTTCAATATAAGTTCAACAATCCCTTAATTATACTTGTATATCTTAAACATTTTTCCATTGATTTGTATTAATTATTAAAATTAAATAGCTCAAAATTAAAGAGAATTTTTCAGTATCGGTATTTAAAAAACTGTGCAATATCAGGGACTGTCCTAGAAGTGTTCAATATCACATCATTCCAGTGACCCTACCAACCATTATGATTTCCTTATTGAGGTTTTTATTGAGGCTTACAGGTTCTAAATTATTAAAATATAATTTTAATTTTGTGTGAAACTAGACACATTTTTAAAATTTTGTTTGAAACTAGACATTTTTTGTTTACAACATGGTGTTTGATATTGAAAGCTCGCCAAACGAATGTTTCGGAGCATACTCGCATACATATTGCAAACTCAGCATTCAATTAAACACTAAGATATAGAACTCTAATATTATCTAGACTTTTAATTCTTTTTTTATTAAAGACTATTTATGACTCATAAATACGTATATACAAAAATATCAAGTTTAATATACACGAGCGACTTGTAGAGAGAGTGATACAAGTATATTATTTAAGGTTTTTTGTTGTATCGTACTTATTTTTTTTAAGTTGTGTGTTGGGGGTGGGGTGGGGTGGGGTTACAGTTGGTTTGTCTTATAGTATATTGTATATACATTATCATATGGAAAAAATTATTTGAAATATCCATCCCATTAATTTATTATTTATTAATATGTACAATCATACCATTTGTATAACGAATTGGTGATTCAAAAAAGTTTGTGTGTGTGTATGAGAGTGTGTGTGTGTAATTATAATGAATAGTGGTTCGGTCGCGAATTTGATCGCGAAAATACCGCGAATATTAGTGGCTCACATAAAGTCTGCAACACAGTAAAATTTCAAATGATGGAGAACCCTGTATGAGCTATATAATAAAATCAATTATTATGTTTCTGAGGTAATCTTATTATCATAAATCATTTACATGTAAATATAGAAGTTATCACATGTACATAGTAAATTTATCTAGGGTATTGCGAACATGAGATTTCAGATAAAAAGCTTAAAGTACTGACAAAACACATTACTGATGCAATTTTTTGGTTAATGAGAAATTGTGAACACAATCCTGAGTTTCTGCTATTACTAACTTTTAGATATTTCATCAGTGTATAGTGTCTATCAAGTAATGCATGTATGTATGATTACATTATGTGAAAAAAAGTAAGTTATTCGATGTCACTGATTATAGAAAAAATTTTATGATGCTATATTCTTTTCCCTACTGACTGTCACGGTAGCTCAGTCAGTAGAGTGCTCCGTGATCAGAAGGTCGTGTGTTCGAACCACGGCCGCGACTGACCTAAGTTGATAAAAAATAGATAGCAACTGTTCCTTTGCCAAGCGCTCAGCACATTGGAGTGAAAGTTGCGGGGCGGGTCTTTCAGATGAGACCTTAAAAAACCGAGGCCCCATGTCGCTGTGGGCATTGGCATGATAAAGAACCCTCACTGCTCAGTGGCCCAGAGTGCCAAGTAAAGGTCTAAATTTGAAGCCCTTCACCAGTATATGGTTACGTCTCTATATGAGTGAAAAGTTCTCTAACAGTACGTAAAACAACACACAATCAATCTTTTCCTTACTTGGTGAAAGCTTTTCTATCATCCAGATAGATGTACCTTTACTATGGAATCATCAGTATTTGTTGGGGACCAATGTTCATGGATTTCGTGGGTCACATTTACCCACAAATTAACATCCCCACAAACAATAATTTTGTCAACATATTGGTTCATTAAATCCTTTGTATATATGAGTTGATACAAGAAATTATCCAGTAAAATTTTGGTTGCCCACTAACATTGGCCCCCATGATTTAAAATGATTCCACAGTATTCACACAGTTATAAATTACAAAAAGGAAGCTGCATGGTGTTCCTATGTAAAATCTACCAATCAATAAACTCATTTTCTTGAATGTGATTATCAGAAGTTGAAACTGTAAGAATTCAACAGTAGATACAAGATTAGATTATCAACCAGTCATTACATTTACCTTATTTTAGGTCAGAACCAGGTGCAATACTTGCTACAGCATACCTCAATAGGTGTCTAAGGACTGTGTGTTCCCCAGAACTTTTGTCTGGTATGTAGACATTTTGTCTTCTTGGTCTTTGAAATGCTTTAGAAAATATACTGGAACTAATTTTTGTATTTTAAAATGGTAACAGAATAGTTTAATTATATAATAAGAAGCCTTATGTTCTGTTCTATAGCCTTGCGACTATTTCAAATATTAGACATCTTGTCCAGAGGAACTGCCAATTTAAACAAAAACTTTTGCAATGCATCCCTCAGTGAAAAAAATTCATTTAAAACAAATTGCCAAACTCTCTATGAGGGGGAGATTATTATGTGCACATATTTTATTAGAACATGGGTCTTCAGTTATTTTTGGCATGCAGTAGGCTCAAGTAAGCTTTATTGATCAAAGAGAGTCTGGCATCCATCTGTCAGTCTGTTGTGTTTCTGTAAACTTTCCACTTTCCAATACCACTTGCGCATTTTCAACCAAACTTGCCACAAAGCATCCTTTGATGAGGGGGATTCAAGTTTGATCAATTAAAGGGCCACACCCTCTTTCAAGAGGAGGTAATTAAAAAAAATAAGTGAAAAATCAATGGCATCATTTAAAAAAAAACTTTCTTGTCAAGAACCATGAGGCCAGAAAAGATGAAACTTACAAGAAAGCTTCATTACATAGTTTAGATTTAGGTTTGTCCAGGTCATGACCCCTGGGACTAGGATGGGGCCACAATCGGAGATCAAAGTTTTATGTGGGAATATATTGGAAAAAAATCAAGAGTGCCAGGGCCTCTCAAAATCATATTAATAAGCAAAACATACCTATGTTGTGTTGAATATTTTTTTTTTAAATCATGATCCTTGGGGTTAGAGTTGGAACAAAATCAGAGATCCAAATTTTACACAATAAGGCAACTTACAGTATAGGTCCACACATAGTTTGAAATTACATTTTGAAAATAATAGCAGTATATGAAATATATTTAATTTTTAATTGGTTGTCAGTTTCTTTCAGAAATGTTAAACTTTTAATTTGGATGAGGTGTATGTATTATAAACATATTGCTTCATGTTTATAATAATTTGTTTCAGAGTTTTGCTTCTTCATTCTTGGATCAGAAAGATTACCAGAGCAAAAAGAGGAGACAACTCATCCAGGCATCAGAGACCGACTCATTGAGCGATGTAATCATTTATCCGAGGAAGTAAGAAAAATCAAGCTAACAATGATTTCTCTTGTCGCAATAGCTTTAGTCATATAAATGTTATTCAAGACACATTAATGTATACACTTATTTTTATATTCTTACAGGACTCATGAACTATTAAAATCATATTACAGTATGTCACATTATGATATTTGTTCTGTTTCAGCTGAGTTTGATTACTTTGAAGTTGTTTGACACTCTCCTACAGAAAGATGATGAACACATCATACATAACTTAGTATTACGCAATCTGTTAGGTAGGAACTACTACAAAACTTCACCAGAAATCAACGAGCAGGACAAGGGAGAAAACTCCCCAACAACAAATGGAATCTCTGAAAATGGTGAAGGTAATCTAGAGTTTTGTACCTTTTCTTGGTTGTTAACTGAATAATGAATGCAGTTTGAAAGAGTTTATGCAGTCATAACATGAGTTCAATGAAATTGTCTAAATTTATGTTCAATGGTTTAGATTTATTTGTCTGTACTTTCCATTGATGAAACCTTATAAGTTAATTGATGCTAATAACTGTCATATGGAAGTGGACAGGTTGTACCTTGATGAGGCTGTGAATTTTTATGGGAATTTAATGATTGTTAGGTTGTTAGATATGGGAAGTGGAATTCTTCTTATGATTTTGAAAAAGATAAAACTGTTAACTTCATCTAAATAAAAAATGAAAGCCTAGGATAAACTAACATCTATTCTGTTACATGTATGTGGAAGTTGAGAATATTAATTTTTTCATAGAGGACACATGCACTGAAGCATCAGCAAAACCAAATCTCAGTCGTTCGTCAAGTCGCACGGAAGTTCACAAGATTGTTAACTGGTAGGTAGCAGTAAATTAGTCATGTCTTCCATCATGAATTCTCAAAATAACAAGAAAGATATTAAATCTGTTTTTCTGTAGTTTCCTATCCTTGCTGCCAGAACAGTTAAAGTCCAGTTATCAGACTGCGGACAGTGGATATGATATGTATTTAAGGGATGCTCACAAACAGGTACAAGGCATTTAATAGAAATTTATTGTGTTTGTCATGTCCATCTTCCGTCCTTCCATCCTTCCATCGTGCTTTCGTTTAGCTCAGTTTCAAAGAAACTATCCAAGATATTTTCATCAAACTTCATATGTTGATAGATATGGATGAGAGCTATGCAACTGCATCAACATTTTTACCTTGACCTTTTCTTTGACCTTGACCTCACATTTCCTCAATAAGTGTTTAGCTCAGTTTTAAAGATACCATTTAAGATAGTGTAATCAAACTTCATATGCTGATACATACTGATGATGGCTATTCAACTGCATCAACATTTTTTGACCTTGACCTTTCCTTTGACCTTGACCTCACTTTTCTTAAATTAGTATTTAGCTCAGTTTTAAAGAAACTATTCAAGATATTTTTATCAAACTTCATATGCTGATACATACTGATGTAAGCTTTTCAACTGCATCAACATTTTTTGACCTTGACCTTTCCTTTGACCTTAACTTCATTTATTTTAAATTAGTGTTAAGCTCGGTTTTAAATAAACCATTCAAAATATTTTTATCAAACTTAATATGCTGATAGGTATTTGTGAGAACTATTCAACTGCATCAAAAATGTTTGACCTTGAACTTTCCAGTGACCTTGACCTCACTTTTCTTAAATTTGTATTTTGCTTAGTTTTAAAGAAACCATTTAAGGTGTATTTGTGCAAGCATATGCACTTATACGAGGGTTGTCCGTAAAGTATGTGGACAACCTTGATAATAACTGACAAACATTGATAAAACATATGAAACCATTATTTTCATTAAATTCATGTTTCATTTCATTAATATGCAAGTTTTCATCACAAACAAAGCACAAATAGTTATATTTTTATTAGATGCAAAAAGACACACACTCATACCCGGAGCACTAAAATGAAAATCCTTGACATTACCCGACGTCAAAGCTAAATACATTTAACTTTTCTCGAAGTTGTCACTGTTTAACTCAACACATTATGTCGCTTTAAACGATCATCAAAAATGTGTACAAACTGTTCTGGTTTCATACGTGATATAATATTTAACACTTCCTGTCTCAGATCCTACAAAAGATCAAACCTCTTAAAAACGACTTTATGTCCGGAAATACGGCAAAGTCTATGTCAATCACGTCATGATCATGAACTTAATTTTTTACAGCACTGCAATCTCGAAAAGATGGTCTTCCTTCACGCATGTCATCCTGTAAACTGTCCCTTCCGTCCAAAAATCTTTTGTGCTGCTTGAACACTAAAGAAAGGTTTACTTTACTATGTTTTTTTCCCGGCTGTTTAAGGAATTTATGGGTCTCTGTTGGTGTTTTTCCAATGTACGCGAAATTTTATCACTGCTCTCTGCTCCACTTTTTCCAAAAACGTCCCTTTTTCGAACAACGACGACCCTGTCTTAATAGATTCTAACCTCAATTTCTCTGCCATTTCGAAACTTTGAACGTTCAAACTTTGCATGTTTGACGTTATAACTTTTATCAATGTCATTATGTGAAAGTCATCCAAATTTCTGCGGAATTTTACAAAATACAAATGAAATACATAAAGTGATAAATAACTTTTTAATTAAAACTTAGCCGTGCTCCGGGTCACCATCCCAAGTCTAATAATGAAGTCATAATTGTAATTATGCATTTAAAATTGGATAAAATTTTACACTTTGTAATTCACATATAGTAAAGGATTATAAATATGCTAATAATAATCTAAGCTATCTATAACACAACTTTTATTTAAAATTTAGCCTGTCCACGAACTTTACGGACAACCCTCGTACATAATTTGGTGAGAATTTATCATCTATATCTAACTTTTTAGATTTCACTTTTAAAGAAACTATTCAAGATATTCTCATCAAATTACATACACTAATACAAATTTTCATGTTGCATTACTAATATACCCTCGGCGAGTCATTCATGTCCTATGGACATATTTCTAGTTTTGATAAATATGTTAAAAAGATACACATCATCTTTAAAGATGAAAAGAGGGAAAGTGCTAGCTGGTAAATATACAGTTGAACTTCGGTATCTCGAACACTGATATCTTGAATACCATGGATATATCAAAGTGATTTGGAAGTCCCAACCCCTTATTCTTTAAGTATTTTACCCTGGATATCTCAAATCCTTGGATATCTCAAAGTTTTAGCTCGGTCCCATTGAGTTTGAGATAACGATGTTTGCCTGTAATTGAATGAATCACCATGAATTATTTTTAAGCTGTATTGATCAAAGATTAGAAAAGATTATACATGAAGAGATTGTTCAACACCCATTCATCTCTGTTTGTCTGTGTTTTGCTACCAGTTTGTCCATAATTTTTTTTTTTTTTCTTTTTTTTTTTTGTAAATGCTATTTGTATTAAACTTGGTAACATGAAGACAACATCAAGATGCATAATCCTCTAACCAGTTTTTGACTTCTGTGGACACTATTGCTTTTGTTACTAAAAGTATTTATTTAAACCCTTTCAAAATAATTCCCCTTTTATAGTTTTGATCTGGTATGAAATGAATACACATCCATGCATGTACAATTTTTCTTTACAACTTCTGTGAATATTTTAATAGTTTAAATAAAAGTCTCATCAGAGAGGATTGTTTTCACATATGGGTTACTGGTATATATTGATTTTAAAAGGGTAATTTATGGGTAGGCAGATTCAATTGTATATACATGTGTAAAGAGTGTGTTAAACCTTGTACAGTATATCATACCTTATGGTATAGTGGAGGTCATTTTCTGCTTAAGAGGGCTGGGTGGTCGTGGCCATTTTTAGACTATATTGATTCCTTTAGAAGAAGAGCTCCATATAAAGATATACATGTACAAAAATGATCAAATTTTAAAAACTAAAATGTATGAATTTTTTCTTTGCCAAATGATAGTTGACAGCTTAAGATATCATATCTAAAAAAAAATAAGTTATATCTGCTGATGGTTAATTTGTTGACCCCCCAGCCTCCTTAATTAAATGATATGAATTCAGGTGATTAATCTTATTTAGTGACTTTTACATGTACATTGCACACCATAAACAGGCATACAACCCCATCCAGTGTATTTTTGATTTATGTCCCTTTTAGTAGTCATTTTGGGATGTCACCAATTATCAGTTGAGGGCTGCTAATCTAGACCTGTACTCAGCACTCATGGTCATTCAGTAGTGAGGTATCTTTTTTGTGCTAAATCCTACTTGTATTGAGATACAGGATCTCAATTATATGGGATCATCCAAGGACAGGTCTCCATGTCCCGCAGGGGGATTCAAACCCATGATGTAAGGATCAACTCCTTACTCTGCAACTCTTGAATGAAATGCTGTAACCACTGTATGGTAGGACATATTATCCCCAATCCAGTGTGAATTGCAGTCTTAAATGAAAGTCATTTATTTTCTGTTTTCAGTTTCATCATGTGTGTGAGATGACAGACCCCTGGTCTTGGCCCAAAGAGCCTGTTGTCATCAGGAGATTTGTCATGGATGATTTTTATGAAGGGTCTTTTCTGAGAATGATACTGGATAAAATGTCGCACTTAATGGATCAGGTAAAAGAATGTTAACCTTTTTTTTTACAGCTAAATGTCTTTGTTTCCACATTATGTTGTCATTGTAGAGATTATAGCTTTTCAACTCTCACTATTATTTTTTAAAAATTCTGTCTCATCAGGTATAGGTTTTATGTCCATCTTTTATTTATTTATTTTTTACATATTTGTGTCTAATACACATTTCAGAGTTATCCAGTTAACCTACAGTTGACTTCTGTTATCTCGAGACTGGCTCTCCTGCCACACCCCAATCTCAGCGAGTTCCTGTTGGATCCCTTTCTTCCTGTCAGGGATGGTGTCAAAACTCTTTTTTCTGTCTTCCAGAAGGTAAATGTAACCAGATTCTCAGATGGAAAGCCCGTTAGCTTTGTGATTGATTCATACGAGGAGCACTTGAGAGATAAATTAACTATATGTCCACATTGTATCCACATATGTTGGAATAAAACAACCTCCTCTCTTTAATGCATGTACTGCAGTTATCATACAATGTACATGTATATGATCAGGTTTTTAAATGCAGTAAATCAGATAAGAACTTTACTTTGTGCATTTAGGGGAGACTGTCTGCTTGCAAAAAATTAATTCTCGAGAATATATTTTTATTTCTGAAGATTATATGCAACAGTAACCAGATTTCATGAAAATTTTGTCTCCCTATTGAATACCAAAAAACTGCTCTGCAAAAATAACGTTTTGAAAATTTGGTGATCTACATATACTTTCAACTGATAGTTGCAGTTTATAGAATTCTAGATCTTAAATGCAATGAAACTTTTTAGTGGTCATGTTATCTTAGTATTAGTAAGAGCTCTAACTTCAGATTAATCTAACTTATTGAATATTACATGTTTCATAATGGGTACATGTATGTGCACTTCTTAAATTATTAGCTCACCTGAGCTGAAAACTCAAGTGAGCTTTTCTGATCACCCATTGTCCGTCGTCCGTCCGTCTGTCTGTCTGTCCGTCCGTCTGTAAACTTTTCACATTTTCAACTTCTTCTCAAGAACCACTGGGCCAATTTTAACCAAATTTTTTACAAAGTATCCTTGGGTGAAGGGAAGTTTAAATTGTTAAAATAAAGGGCCAAGTCCCCTTACAAGGGGAGATAATCAAAAAAAGACAAAAATAGAGTGGGGTCTCAAGAACCACTGGGCCAGAAAAGCTGAAACTTATGTGGAAGCATCATGGTGTAGTGTAGATTTTTAATTGTTAAAATCATGACCCCCGGGGGAAGGGCGGGGCCGCAATAGGGAATCCAAGTTTTACATTGAAATAAATAGGAAAATTTTTTAAAAATCTTCTTCTCAAGAACCATTAGGCAAGAGAAGCTGAAACTTATGTGGAAGTATCCTGGGGTAGTGTAGATTCTAAATTATTCAAATCATGACCCCCGGGGATAGAGCAGGGCCACAATAGGGAATCCAAGTTTTACATTGAAATAAATAGGAAAAATCTTTTAAAATCTTCTTCACAAGAACAACTGGGCCAGAATAGCTGAAACTTATGTGGAAGCATCCTGGGATCGTGAAGATGCTAAATTGTAAAAATCATGACCCCTGGGGGTAGGGCGGGGCCACAATAGGGAATCCAATTTTACATTGAAATATGTAAGAAAAATCTTCTTCTCAAGAACAACTGGGCCAGAAAAACTGAAACTTATGTGGAAGCATCCTGGGATAGTGTAGATTTTTAATTGTTAAAATCATGACCCCCAGGGGTAGGGCAGGGCCACAATAAGTATTAGAAGGGGGGAAATCTGGTAAAGAACAGCATGGCCAAAGTTACTCAGGTGAGTGATGTGGCCCATGGGCCTCTTGTATTATAAAGTAATAAAGTTTACAAAGATCTTAATACTTTTTGTATATGAAATATTACCTTAGCATAAGTTATGCATCAACAACAATATATATATATGTATACTACAGTACATAAATTAGTCAACTTAATTCCAGCTGTCCAGTGAGATAAGAACAAAGCTTCACACACAAAGTGACCTTAGTCAGAAACTGGTCAGTGTACGTCGTCAGTTAATGGGAACCAGTCCAAATCTTCATAGGTAAGGATTAGCTCATCTTGAAAATTAATTGTGAACATTTAACAATCAGTTTGATATCAGATGAATGCAAAAATGAGCATGATAAATAGTACACAGGCCTGGATCCTGAATTTTTTCCAGGGAAGGGACAAATTGTGGTTTAAAACTTTTCAAAAAGTTCATCCAAAAAAGTAAAAGTGAAAAAAAATCTTACCTTTTATTATGAAGTGCTTGACAAAAGAGATCTCTGCAGGGGCTATAAAACTTTGATGAATTCACTTTTGAGCTCAGTCTCACTTTTCAACTATTAATATCTTTTGTAAAAGGGAGACTAAGATCAAAAGTGAGTTTGTCTAAGTTTTATGGGCCCAAAGCCAGATTTGACAATGTTTTGATGCATACAATCCAAGTGTCAAAACTAGAGTTTGATGTTGTTTTTTTTTGAAATTGTATTAGATTAATAGGTGGTCATTTGGCAGAAAAAGTAAACTATTAGCCAACCCTCATTTTGTGTAAAAAAAAAATAACAATATGAAAATGAGGTAAAATATTACAGTACTTCTTAATTAATTATAAGGGAGGGGGACGTTTGTGCACATTTGGATCTAGGCATGTCTACATAGAGGAAGTGCATTTTGGATGATTTGGAATGTCACTGTTTTCTGATTTATATGCTGAGGAATGTTACATGTATATAACCAAAGCATGTAATAATTTGTATGTGTTTTTCTTGGCTTTAAGAACAAGACCATTCAGGAAACATGAAAGATTTCAATTCAGGTCTTTTACTTTTGAAACATAATCATCTATGCATGAACATTCTGTCAGTTATATGCATGTACAATGTATTAGTATTTCATGCAATCATATATTTCATTGTAACAGCTATATAGCCTCAACATAACCAAGATAGCAGTAACCTGTATTTTAGCATGTAAGCTAACTGTTTCATTCTTTATGCTATGACTTATCTGTAGACTGAAAACTGTAACAAAACTCCATGATGGGTAAGTTCATTAATATTTGTTGTTGCTTGTCACTGCCCTGCCGGGTATAAGGAAGCACCTTGCACATTCAACAAGTCAGGCTTAGGAAAACACAGTCTGTGTGCGTATACACAGGAAAATGTGCCTGTTGATCCCAAAATGTTTTTTGTACCATTGGCCTATAGGACCAGCCAGTCAATGAAAACTAATGGTCCCCACGTTTTCTTTACATTAATTTTACAAATATTAGAAAAGTACTTCTTATTGTCATTAATGATTTAAATGATACATGTATTCAACTTTTTTGAAATTTGAAATAGTATCTGTTGTTTATCATTCTCAACTTCTCTTGCCTTTCTAATGAGAATGTAAACAAGTGTATTTCTTTTGAGAGTAGAATTCTAGAGGCCTTTTGGAGTTAATCTTATTTTCAATTTTACTGGCCCTGCAGGCTGATTTTTTTGGCCTTGTGCCTTGGGCTTGTGTGTTTCAGTAAGGACTAATAGCATCATAATAAATTCTCCAGAACTTTTTAAAAATGAATATCATGTAAAATAATTGACTTAAGGAACTCATTTAAAATGTTTTTAAAGTAAATTTCCTTTGAAAATCTTTAATTTTTTTATTATTATTGTTTTTTTTTTAATTAATTTTTTTTTTTTTTTGAGAAGAACATGTGGCTTTATAGACATAATTTTTGTAAAGCCTTGAAATACTTAATTAAGGGAGATGATGATAAGAAATAAAGTAATTAGCAGTGGGGATGCTGTAAAGTACGTACATGTGAGGAAAGTCAATGTTAGGGACCTGATGTTGTTAAACTCAGTCTGTAACTCTTTCTCATATGTCTACATTACTAAATTCTAATCAGTTCTGTGTAAAGTGGGGAAAAAAATTAAAGTACAAGTGTAATAATACAGCAGAGCAGAATGATGAACATAAGAGGAACTGGAGATAAAGTGTGTTTTGGGAGAAAAAAAAAAAACGGGAAGGATGCAGACTAACTCATTATAGATTTATCATCTTGAACTGTATAGTAATTCCTATGTAAAAATCATCAGGGTCTGACTATTTGTTGATTATAAACTATTGCAATGTTTCCTAGTTGCCCAAACTCATGTAGGCTCAGGCCAAAAATATGTCCTTCATTTTAATGAATGCCCAAATAGAGATTAAAAACAAAAAATCCAGAGTCAAAAGGATACCTTGTTTTAAAGAAAATGCTTAAGGCATGAAATGAGTGATGGGCGTTGTTCATTAAATTTTTAATACATTGTATGGAGATTTCATTTCAACCATATTAATCATAAAAAAAAAATTACAGAATATTTTTGCAGCTGACATTATACCATGCACAAAATATTTATTTGAAATATCATTGCATGTTGCTACTAGTTGTACGATTGTATTGCAAGCATGTTTGGAAATTGATATTGTCATATGATATATATTTTTATTTCATATGTTTGTATTCATTTTATAGGACAATGTATTTAGATTTAAAGAATGCATGTTAACTTATTTCTGAATACAACTTGCAAATATACAGTGCTAATAACATATAGGTAAATGATTCTTTCCAATAACTGTTTTTGTTTACTTTTTTTTTAATCTTTCTTCCTCTCTCTCAGTTTAACTATTCTATCAATATAATTTGGTCATTTAAATTTGCATGTTTCAATTTTAAAACATTTCTTATCTGTATTTTCAAATCTTGTAAACAGATATGAAGACCAAAACCAATTAGAGGCCATCATAGTCATGGAAGAGTTTTGTAAAGAGCTCTCAGCAATAGCATTTGTCAAGCACCATACTGAAGTAAATAAGTCATGTTGATGATCTAAGGTTATCAAGACTTGATTATATTTGATGGAGAACATATTATCTAATCTGTTTTCTTTATGTAAAGCTTGTGTTGAAGGATCTGTAGTGTCCAATCTTGTGAACTCTAACGGATCTCGAATTCTCAAACAGAGAGATTTGTATAATAATTGTAATGAAAATTTTTTATTCTCATTGGCATTGTTGAAAAACATTGCTACAAAGAGAGATAATTAATCTACCATTGTATCTCCAGAATGTTGGGTTGTTCGTAATATTCTTTTGTTGGTATTATCTAAGTTGACAACATTGAAATATTAAATTAGAAATGGTGGTGCATGCAAATGTATGGACAAATTTAGATTGAAGTATTCTTCTTGTATGAAATCCATAGATAGTGCAATATTTATAAAAATGTATTATATTATTACATATAATATATATATGGTATTATGGTAATGTCTGCATTTTCTTTTCATCAGTATAACTTAAAAAGTTTGAATTGTTTATGTTCATTAATGATGATATTGATACATTTATTTTTTGTATACATGTATTTCCCTGTGTGCCAAAGAAGGAGAATACAGCTTTCTTTTTTTTTTTATTTAGTTCAAAGGTCATGTGCTCTGTAATCATGATTAACCTTTCTCAATACTTGGTATTTTATAAAAAGAACAGCAAAAAAAGTGCATTTTAGATGTTATTTTAGTTTCTTTCATTTTCTGTTAATATGATATTTGTAATGATATTATATTTTAGCTTTTGAGGAAATTTTATGAAAAATTCCCCTTTTCCCCCCAAATTTTTTATTATTTTTTCAGACACTGTGATGAAGTAAACCTGATTGAGTTAAATTGTACACTTAAATTGTGTAAAAATTATATCATTAAATTGATTTTCTCTTTATTTTTCTTTATGCTATAACCTATATGAATAAGATGTTTTTTTTTGAAAATCAGAATTTGTGAAATCTAGATCATTGTTACATATGTGTAATGGCAGATATTTGCTAAGTAAGTGAAAAAGTTCTTGAGGTGTCTTTTCAGAAGGAACTGCAATTATACTTCTAGAGAAATGCTGTAATTCTCTGATTTAAGATTTCCAAATACTTGCATAATCCTACTCTGGAAATGAAAATGATTATCCTTATAGAATTGTATATCATTGAAATATTTTATAGAGTTCATCGGTATTCTAGTCATATCTCATTTAAATACATATTAATATACACAAATTGTATTATGAACTATATGCACCTTATTTATCATTTTCTTTCCATAAAATTAAAAAAGTATTCTTAAGGAAAAATATTGAGTCTTTTATGTTAATATGATTTGCAAAGAAATATGTAAGCAGGGTTGATTGAGCAGGTCTATTCAGTGGTAAGATTTTACATCATATCTGTTTCCTTTCTGTTTAAATCCATTCTTAACAGTACCAGTGTTGAAAAGGCCAAACAGTGATCAATCTCATATTGCCAGTAAAGAATACAAATTAAAACACAGACTCCTGGTAATTCCAGAGGTGGATCAGGGGAAATAAGCATCCCATGTTGATTGATCATGCCCACTAGTATCCCTCTGTATTATCAATCAGGTAATCTGAGTAAATCTGTAGTCAAAATTGGTATTAAACAATGGTCTAGCAATTGGGCATGTTGGTCAAAATATCCAAATGATTGGTTATATATACAAATATTCCATTATAACCACCATAGAATTTGCAAAATGCTGACTTGATATGAAATAGTTGAAAGCCCTCAAACATCATAAAATACATAGATATCACAATTTGGAACTCCAGCATTCTTTTTATTTAATATTATTTTCAGAGTACCTATATGTAGAATTGGAAGGATTTTAACAAGTAATTTTGTAGATGACCAAGCACAAGATATGAAAATATCTGAGTTTCATTTTTATTGAAAGAGTAGTTGTCTATGATGTCAAAAAGCCCAAAAATTGTGTATGTTAAGCGTTGAATTATTGAGGATTTGGGGGCATATAGTTTTTGCTCTGTCTGTACGTCTCTGTTTGTCTGCAAAAACTTTAACCTGGGCCATAACTCTTGACTGGTAAGGGATAGGGCTTTCATATTTTACATGTGTATTCCTTGTTACAAAAATTTTCTTTGGGTACCAACAAATTTGACCTCTTGACCTCGGGTCAAAAACGTTGTTGCATATGTACCCAAAGAAAGATCTTATCACAAGGAATACAAAAATGAAATATAAAAAGCCGTAGCACCAACCATTCAAAAGTGATGCCAAGGTTAAAGTTTGGTAAATTTTTTCTTCTCAAAAAATAGGTAGAGGATGAAGGTCAAGAGGTCAAAAATGATGGTACCCGAAGTTGTCACAAGGAATGATTTGTGAAATATAAAATCTCGAGCACAAACCGAAGGTATGGGCAAGATTAAAAGTTTTTCAAAGTAGGTCAACTCCAAGGTCAGGAGGTAAAAAATGTTGGTACCCAAAGAGAGGGTATTATTGAAAGGAATACACATGCAAAGTATGAACATAGCTCTGATCCTTCGACATACACTGTATTCGGCTCCAGTCTTTGCACTCCCCCTTTTTTCAGCTCTTCAAAGTTTTTTTAATATATTCGATCAGTGCATATTATCCATTCAAGATATATTACTAAAGTCAGGTACTCTTCACACAATTGCTCCGAAGAAAATAGTTCCATTCATGATCAGTAGATACAACATTACAACAAATGTTAAGAATAATGATGTATATCTAATACGTTAAAGAAAACAAAATTAACGTAAAAAGATTTTAAGAAAATCACTTTTCCCCAGAAAAGGAAATAAAAAGTTTTCATATTCCTACGCTCTCTGCCTCCTCAGTCTTTTTCACGAAAATATATAGGTCATCCTTCGATTGATAGTGATAAATCTGTTCACCAATTATATAACTGTCATGATTATTGTTCGTTAATTGCCGTATATTTTCTTTTGAGTGAGAATGTTAATCATTAACTGTGTGCTTTTTCTTCTCTTTTTTAGGTCACCTGAGTCACTCAGGTGACCTATTGCTATCCGTTCTCGTCCGTCGGCGTGCGGTGTGCGTCGTGTGTCGTGTGTTAACATTTGAACATTTTTAGCTTCTTCTCTGAAACCGCTTAACCAATTTCAACCAAATTTGGCATATAGCATCTATGGGTGAAGGGGAACAAAAATTGTGAATTCCATGGTCCCTGCCCCCCTGGGGCCTGAGGGGTGGGGCTAAAACCACCAAAAATAATGCAATCTTTAAAAATCTTCTTCTTTACTCCTGGACATCAAGCAGTCAAACTGTTGGCATCATTGTAATAAGCATTGAGTCCTCTACCAAAATTGTGAAATTCATGGCCCCAGGGTCAGGAGTTCTGGTGCTAGGGTGGGGCTATATAGATCATATAGTGAAAGTGCATTATTTCTTTGAAAATCTTTTTCTCTGCTCCTGGGTATTAAATAAAGTAACTAAGTACATAGTTATGAAGAACAAGAGTGCCTCTTTCAAAATTGTGAATTTCATGGCCCCTGGGTCAGGGGTTCTGGTGTTAGGGCAGGGCTCTATTGAGTATATGGTGAAAATGTATTAATTCTTTGAAAATCTTCTTCTCTGCTCCTGGGCATTAAATAAAGTAACTTAGTACATAGTTATGATGAGCAAGAGTGCCTCTTCCAAAATTGTGAATTTCATGGCCCCTGGGTCAGGGGTTCTGGTGTTAGGGCGGGGCTCTATTGATTATATAGTTAAAATGCATTAATTCTTTGAAAATCTTCTCTGCTCCTGGGTATTAGATAAACTAACTTAGTATATAGTTATGATGAGCAAGAGTACCTCTTTCAAAATTTTGAATTTCATGGCCCCAGGGTCAGGGGTTCTGGTGTTAGGGCAGGGCTCTATTGATTATATATTAGAATTGCAATTATTTTCTCTGCTCCTGGGTATTAAGTACATAGTTATGAAGAACAAGAGTGCCTCTTTCAAAATTGTGAATTTCATGGCCCCAGGGTCAGGGGTTCTGGTGTTAGGGCGGGGCTCTATTGATTATATAGTTAAAATGCATTAATTCTTTGAAAATCTTCTCTGCTCCTGGGCATTAAATAAAATAACTTAGTACATAGTTATGATGAGCAAGAATGCCTCTTCCAGAATTGTGAATTTCATGGCCCTTGGGTCAGGGGTTCTGGTGTTAGGGCAGGACTCTATTGATTATATAGTAGAATTGCATTAATTCTTTGAAAATCTTTTTCTCTGCTCCTGGGTATTAAATAAACTAACTAAGAACATAGTTATGGTGAGCATGACTGCCTTTTCAGAAATTGTTTCATGGCCCTTGGGTCAGGGGTTCTGGTGTTAGGGATGGGCTCTATTGATTATATAGTAAAATTGCATTAATTCTTTGAAAATCTTCTCTGCTCCTGGATATTAAATAAACTAAGTACATAGTTATGATGAGCATGACTGCCTCAGAAATTATGAATTTAATGGCCTCTGGGTCAGGGGTTCTGGTGTTAGGGCGGGGCTCTATTGATTATATAGGGAATAGGCATGAATTCTTTCAAAATCTTCTGTGCGCGTGGGTATTTTTCAAACAAAGGAAGTGCATGGTTATGATAAGGAAGAATGCCTCATGGCCCTTGGGTCAGGGGTTCTGGTGAGGGGAAAAGAGCTCTATTGATTATATATAGTGAAAATGCATAATTTCTTTCAAAATATTTTTTCTACTACTGGTTATAAAGTAAAGAAACAAGTGTATAGTTATAATGAGAAAGGGTGCTTCTTCCAGAATTGTGAGTTCGTGGCCAATGGGTCAGATGTTCTGGGCAAGGATGGGGCTTTATTTATTTAATAATATGGGGGAAATGCATTTCTTTGAAAATCTTCTATGCTTCTGGGGATGTTCAAGGCAAACAGAGTAAAAGTTTTAATATGCAAGGGTATTTTTACCAGAATTTTGAACACCTGGACCATTTAGTCAAGTGTTCTAGTCCTGGCCAGGGCTCTATTAACTTGTATTCTGCTGAGCAAAGTTATTCCCCTTTGCCATTCATCTTTGATAATTAATCAATGTAAATAATGTATTTGAAAGCTTAATAGAATAAGAGAATTATGCAAGATAATTTATTGTATAATGAAAAAGTACTTTCATAGATTTAATGACTTGGAAAGTCAGATAGGCAGATAGATACTAGACCAATTATTTTGTTGATGCTAATCATACTATTTTTCTTGCTTTTGGGCAACAAAGCTTCATTTTTCAGTTTATGGATCCTCTAAATTGTTGTATTGTACTCAGGTGACCGTTAAGGCCCTTGGGCCTCTTGTTTAAATGAATGGTTATTATGGTTAAACACCTGCAATCGTAACTTCTCGGCAAAGCAACGTGATTTGCCGAGCTCGTCGGAAAGGATCTTCGCACATGTGTAAACCTAGTCTATTTGGTCTTGCAAGCACAGGTATGTGCACCGTTCGCTAGTGACGCTTAGATCATGTAGACTGGGTATCAGTATTTGCTACGGACATGAAGAAGAACTAAACACCAGTTTCATAACAAGTGCAGGTTTTTTTACTCAAGCCCTAGACTGGGTTAGAGGGACTGAGTTATCTAAAACGATGCTAGGTCATTGATCTACTCAGTTTAAAAACACGAAAATATACTATTTTTGTTATTAAAAACATTTCTAGAAACAAAAATGAAGTTTATCTTCAAAACGTCTCTATATTCAAAATCTATATTAAGTGTTAAATGTCGGATTTTATTCCATGACGAAGGAATGTTCACAGCCCCCAACCGATCTTGCGTTTAACAACGGCCGTCAATGCATCTCTAGACGAGTTCATTGATTACTCTTGTTGACCCATCTTTATCATATGCCTATACTTTGAGTTATAGTACTTTAATAGCACAAAATTAAAAAAATAAATTAAAATCTATCCTTGATAGATCTATAGTTTTGCTATTTAAAAAAATTGGGCTATCTTTGATCTTTGCTTGGACTTGTTTCGAATTTTTACAGAAGATTCTATCATTGGAAAGTTAGATGGTACACATGTAGCACAGGCCCATAGTACGCGGGATTTTTTTGGAGCCCCTCCCCCCCACCCCTTCACTTTGAAAACGTTGCTACAGGCCTGTATCATGCTATTTGGATTAAATATTCCTGAAAATGAGTGAGCTGTTAATAGCGATTCTCCGTAACCACTTAAACTTCTTTGCCACGCATGGTCACCGATTTTGATGAAACTTTACCTATTATTACAACTTGACACCAGAAACATATATCAAATAAAATTTCGTTGCTATGTGTCT